CTCATACCAATGATGGGGCACTATTCCTCCCACTCATACCAATGATGGGGCACTATTCCTCCCACTCATACCAATGATGGGGCACTATTCCTCCCACTCATACCAATGATGGGGCACTATTCCTTCCACTGACACCAATGATGGGGCACTATTCCTCCCACTGACACCAATGATGGGGCACTATTCCTCCCACTCATACCAATGATGGGGCACTATTCCTTCCACTGACACCAATGATGGGGCACTATTCCTCCCACTGATACTAATGATGGGGCACTATTCCTCCCACTGACACCAATGATGGGGCACTATTCCTCCCACTGACACCAATGATGGGGCACTATTCCTCCCACTGACACCAATGATGGGGCACTATTCCTCCCACTCATACCAATGATGGGGCACTATTCCTCCCACTCATACCAATGATGGGGCACTATTCCTCCCACTCATACCAATGATGGGGCACTATTCCTTCCACTGACACCAATGATGGGGCACTATTCCTCCCACTGATACTAATGATGGGGCACTATTCCTCCCACTGACACCAATGATGGGGCACTATTCCTCCCACTGATACCAATGATGGGGTACTATTTCTCCCACTCATACCAATGATGGGGCACTATTCCTCCCACTGATACCAATGATGGGGCACTATTCCCCCCACTGATACCAATGATGGGGCACTATTCCCCCCACTGACACCAATGATGGGACACTATTCCTCCCACTGACACCAATGATGGGACACTATTCCTCCCACTGACACCAATGATGGGACACTATTCCTCCCACTGACACCAATGATGGGACACTATTCCTCCCACTGACGCCAATGATGGGGCACTATTCCTCCCACTGACGCCAATGATGAGGCACTATTCCTCCCACTGACGCCAATGATTGGGCACTATTCCTCCCACTGACGCCAATGATTGGGCACTATTCCTCCCACTGACGCCAATGATGGAGCACTATTCCTCCCACTGACGCCAATGATGGGGCACTATTCCTCCCACTGACACCAATGATGGGGCACTATTCCTCCCACTGACACCAATGATGGGACACTATTCCTCCCACTGACACCAATGATGGGGCACTATTCCTCCCACTGATACCAACGATGGGACACTATTCATCCCACTGACATCAGTGATGGGGCGCTAGTCCTCCCACTGCAAAATACAGTTATGAAGTAGCAACGAAAATAATTTTATGGTTGGGGGTCACCACAACATGAGGAACTGTATTAAGGGGTCGCGGCATTAGAAAGGTTGAGAACCACTGCTATAACCCCTGAAGAAAGTGTGTAGTATCTCTGAAATACGTTTGGTGAACGGAGCTATGCGTCTAGTCTATATACATTACTGAACGCACACTACATGTAATGTAATAGATCAAATTTGTAAGCCGTTGGATGTTTTTATGCAACATTGTAATAAAAAAGATCACAAACAATCTTTTATCTAAATTCCTGGTTTGTAGTGCCTTCAAAATTCCATAGGGTTTTGGTTTTAGGGCTATATTTAAGGGATGTGGCATTTATGAGAATACACCCACCTATATTGTATCTTCCCATTCTCCAATGACATGCTGGTAGATTTATTGGCTGCTGTCTAAATTGGCCCTAGTATGTGTATGTATGAATTTGAGTTAGGAACTTTAGATTGTACGCTCCTTGAGGGCAGGGACTGATGTGAATGTACAATATACAGTGGATATAAAAATGTCAGGTTTCTGTGATGTAAAAAAATGAGACAAAGATATATCTTTTCAGAACTTTTTCCACCTTTAATGTGACCTATAAACTGTACAACTCAGTTGAACAACAAACTGAAATCTTTTAGGTGGAGGGAAGTAAAAATAAAAAACTAAAATGATATGGTTGCATAAGTGTGCACACCCTTACACTAATACTTTGTTGAAGCACCTTTTGATTTGATTCCAGCACTCAGTCTTTTTGGGTATGAGTCTATCAGCATGGTACATCTTGACTTGGCAATATTTGCCCACTTTTCCTTGCAAAAGCACTCCAAATCTGTCAGATTGCGAGGGCATCTCCTGTGCACAGCCCTCTTCAGATCACCCCACAGATTTTTGATCAGATTCAGGTCTGCGTTCTGGCTGGGCCATTCCAAAACTTTCATCTTCTTTTGGTGAAGCCATTCCTCTGTTGATTTGGATGTATGCTTTGGGTCATTGTCATGCTGAAAGATGAAGTTCCTCTTCATGTTCAGCTTTCTAGCAGAAACCTGAAGGTTTTGTGCCAATATTGACTGGTATTTGGAACTGTTAATAATTCCCTCTACCTTGACTAAGGCTCCAGTTCCAGCTGAAGAAAAATAGCCCCAAAGCATGATGGTGCCACCACCATGCTTCACTGTGGGTATGGTGTTCTTTTGGTGATATGCAGCGTTGTTTTTGCGCCAAAACGTTCAACCTTGGTTTCATCAGACCATAACACATTTTCCCGCATGCTTTTGGGAGACTTCAGATGTGTTTTTACAAAATTTAGCCAGGCTTGGATGTTTTTCTTCATAAGAAAAGGCTTCCGTCTTACCACTCTACCCCTTAGCCCAGACATATGAAGAATACGGGAGATTGTTGTCACATGTACTACACAGCCAGTACTTGCCAGATATTCCTGCAGCTCCTTTATTGTTTCTGTAGGTCTCTTGGCAGCCTCCCAGACCAGTTTTCTACTTGTATTTTCATCAATTTTGGAGGGACGTCCAGTTCTTGGTAAAGTCACTGTTGGGCCATATTTTCTCCACTTGATGATGACTGTCTGCACTGTGTTCCATGGTATATCTAATGTGCCTTGGAAATTCTTTTGTACCCTTCTCCTGACTGATACCTTTTAACAATGATATCCCTCTGACGCTTTGGAAGCTCTCTGCGGGCCATGGCTTTTGCTGTAGGATGCGCCCAAGAAAATGTCAGGAAAGACCTACTAGATCAGTTGACCTTTATTTGGGGTTAAGCAGAGGCACTTTAAATGATTGCAGATGCACACTGGCTCCTATTTAACATGATTTTGAATATGATTGCTTAATTCTGAACACATCTAAATCCCCAGTTATAAGAGGGTGTGCACACTTATGCAACCACATTATTTTAGTTTTTTATGTTTAACCCCCCCCCCAAAAAAAAAAAAAGAAGGAAAAAGATGATTTATCTTTGTCTAATTTTTTTACATCACAGACACATTTTAACAGGGGTGTTTAGACTTTTTATATCCACTGTGTGTGTGTATATATATATATACTATATGTTGTTCCCAGTTGGTTCCACTTTGTTGTAGTACCACTAACAGCTGACCGTGGAATATTTAGTAGCAAGGATATGTCACAGATGGACTTTTTACACAGGTGGCAACCTATCACGGTACCATGCTTGAATTCCCTGAGCGTCCCATTCTTTCACAAATGTTTATAGAAGCAGTCTGCATGCCTAGGTGCTTGATTTTATAAACCTGCGGCCATGGAGGTAATTGTCACACCTGAATCCTGTGATTTGGAGGGGCATCCCAATACGTTTGGCAATATAGTGTGTGTGTATATACAGTATATATATATTTATATACTATATTGCCAAAAGTATTGGGACGCCTGCCTTTACACGCACATTAACTTTAATGGCATCCCAGTCTTAGTCTGTAAGGTTCAATATTGAGTTGGCCCGCCCTTTGCAGCTATAACAGCTTAAAACCTTCTGAGAAGGCGGTCCACAAGGTTTAGGAGTGTGTCTATGGGAAGGTTTGACCATTCTTCCAGAAGCGCATTTTTGATGTCAGGCACTGATGTTGGATGAGAAGGCCTGGCTCTCAGTCTCCGCTCTAATTCATCCCAAAGGTGTTCTATTGGGTTGAGGTCAGGACTCTGTGCAGCCTAGTCAAATTCCTCCACCCCAAACTAGCTCATCCATGTCTTTATGGACTTTGCTTTGTGCACTGGTGCGCAGTCATGTTGGAACAGGGAGGGGCCATCTCCAAACTGTTCCCACAAAGTTGGGAGCATGAAATTGTCCAAAATGTCTTGGTATGCTGATGGCTTAAGAGTTGCCTGCACTGGAACTAAGGGGCCAAGCCCAACCCCTGAAAAACAACCCCACACCATAATCCCCCCTCCACCAAACTTTACACTTGGCACAATGCAGTCAAGCAAGTACTGTTCTCCTGCCAACCACCAAACCCAGACACGTCCATCGGATTGCCAGAGAAGCATGATTCATCACTCCAGAGAACACGTCTGCACTGCACTAGAGTCCAGTGGCGGCATGCTTTACACCACTGCATCCGAAGCTTTGCATTGCACTTGGTGATGTAAGGCTTCGATGCAGCTGCTTGGCCATGGAAACCCATTCCATGAAGCTCTGCACACAGTTGGGGACTTCTGTGCACTTCAGCATGCGTTGACCCCGATCTGTAATTTTACTTTGCCTACCACTTCGTGGCTGGGTTGCTGTTGCTCTCAGTTGCTTCCACTTTGTTATAATACCACTAACAGTTGACTGTGGAATATTTAGAAGCAAGGAGATTTCACGGATGGACTCATTGCATAGGTGGCAACCTATCACAGTACCACGCTTGAATTCACTGAGCCCGAGAGCGACCCATTCTTTCACTAATGTTTGTAGAAGCAGTCTGCATGCCTAGGTGCTTGATTTTATACACCTGTGGCCATGGAGGTGATTGGAACACCTGAATCCAATCATTTGGAGGGGTGTCCAGATACTTTTTGCAATATAGTATATATATGGAAATGGCTGCGTAAACTAACAACATTATATAAGTCCTGTAATAAATAACAAAATTGTATTTTCAGACAGTGCCAATCTTAGTAACTGTGTAAGTGTCCATTTAGCTGTCAGATATTTTATATTTTCCAGTGCCTGGCCGGTTACAGTTGCTGGTGCTGTGGTTTTAGTGTTCATAGCATTATTATCCCGTCTGCTTGTCATTCAGAAACCACCCAAGGATCCTTTGTTTTATGGTATGTATACATATGAAACCTTCTTATATTTTGTTAATAACATAGTAAAGCATTAATCTGGTATACAATTGAAATAATTATTGTATGGCTGTCCCTAAGCCCTCCCTGATTACTGACAGTGATGCCAAGGGGTTCGCTTTCTAGACACTGTTTGTGCTATGTTCAAATCACAAGAAATTATGTCACATTATTAAAGTCTCCTGAACAGATGTAAGAGCTTTGTTGCTTTATACAAAAGACATACCTCCTGAGACCCAGTCTGTATGAACAGAATGGCAACTTACTGTCTCAGCAAGATCCACATGAAGTGTCAACTCACTAAGAAAACTCAGTAGGAATCCATTTTAGTCTAGGCCGCCAGATTACAAAAGATGTTTTCTGGAGTTTTCTCAAAGATGAATAATAATATGGGAGGAAAACCTTATGTCTCCTAGATTGTAAGCTCGAAACAGCAGGGCCCTCAATCCCCTCATGTTTTGTATTGTTATTGTTCTGTCACATGTTCTGTCCCCCTTTGTAATGTACAGCGCTGAGCGAACCATTGGCGCTTTATAAATACTGTATAATAATAATAATAATGACTCTTTGAAGGCCACTCACTGAGGTTAAATGTAAACTAAACTAAAAGCATGAGGAAACTGGGAGTGTCTAGCAGAAGAATGTACATACACACAAAACACATAGGAACATACCTAAGTACATGTGTTAGATAATAAAATAGGCTGCTGTGGCAGCACACTAAGCAAGCCACATTTGTGAATTGGTTGTATGTATGCTTTCATAGTTGTATGCATCACTGCATGGGTGTTGTAAATACTGTGAGAGTACATTGGTTGTAGGACTGGATTCGTGGGCACATTGATGCAGCAGCATATGCACGTTATCCTTAGCAAATCATTGTTTACAGCCCTATGTGTACTACAAAACCCCTCCACCCTGTGTTATAGGAGAAGGAGAAGAGGTCGTTTTCCGAGCACAGGAAGACATTAGTCCTTGTGAGCATCATGCTGTCTGTCTCACCCAGCAAATAGATTTTCCAGTTGCTGAGAGTGATCATCATTGGGGCAGTATTATTGAGCAGTTAATCCTTTACACCCAACACACAGTTTCTTTTACCATCTCTTTTAATGACAATCAGCACTGTTTACACCATCCGTTGTTGCAGTTCTGACCCTTAAAAATATCTGTGTCAATTGCTGTCACATCCAGATCAGTATGTTGCAAAGTCACAAAGCAATGATTACAAGCCCATGGGCCACATTTGTGCCCTTTTAATACAGCCCACATTTGTGCCGAGTGAACAAAATTCCACTCTTTATTGTAATATAGTGTTTGTGGTCCACAGTCTCCAAGATGCTGCCCAGGGGATCATAATCACTCACTGGATTCATCTGACCACTTATGAAACAAAAAGATGGTCAAACAGTGCTAAGTTCTAATGCCCAAATGTGCAGAGGTGTTCTGGTCCCCTTTCACATACTCATCAAGAGAAGGACAGAGAGGAGAGGCTAGTAGCATAAAAATGTATTTTTATTAAAAGCTCCATAAGAAAAAAAACTAAATATCCTCACAAGGAAAGTTCTTAACCCAACAATAGGTTGTTGACAGTATTCAAATGTACAGGGCACCACACCACCTCCTGTGTCCTATGTTTGTGCTTGCAGCTGACTTTCACATGCATGGTGTCATCACAGTACTTTTACCTTTGTCTTTCTGACATCCTTTAGGAGTTTGGAGTTTGTCAGACCTCACTATCATCACTCCTCCACTTACAATACAGTCAGTGAATGTAGTACATTTTAATTGTTGTTTAATTTTCCTTGTAGTGTTTTTACAATGCTATGTCTACAAACCATGGACAAATTACAGTTTGTGCTGGATCCTTAATAATTCCCCAGGGTATTGGAAGAAATAATGAAATGGTACAAAATGTTCAGAAAATTCCCTGTAGATAGACATTGTCCCATGTGGCCTTTATGTCTCTATCCAGCAGGGAATTATTAATCATCAGATTTGAATTTTCATGGCTGATCACTGTTGTAACAGAGGTACCACTCCAAGTAGACATGATCATTGACAATCCAAGCAAGTTTATGGAGAGACTCCATCAATGTTAGATCATTTGGTAATTGTAAAATGTATGAACAGTTTAAGAGCTAAGTGATATGTTTATCCATCTATAAAAGTTGTCTCCGTAATGTTTGTGCTGTTTTTTTCTTTATTATAACCATCATGTTATTTTTGCTTTTCTAGTATATGCAGTATTTGCATTTACCAGCGTGGTGGGTCTTATCATTGGCCTGGAACAAGATGGAATCATTGATAGTTTTTATGACCCTATATTTAAAAGAGGTAATAACAGGGAGTTTACATATGTACATGGCTGTTCTATACATTTATGGTACATGATGACTCTTAACTGGTCCTTTTTCAGACAAAATATACACTTCTCAAAAAAATGAAAGGAACACTTTTTAATCAAAGTATAGCATCAAGTCAATTAAACTCCTGGGATGTTGATCTGGTCAGTTAAGCAGCAGAGGGGGTTGTTAATCAGTTTCAGCTGCTTTAAAATTAACAACAGGTGCACTAGATGAGCAACAATAAACTTCACTGACATTTTTTCCCTGCTAATCTTTTCTGACTTTTTTTCACTAGTTTCATATTTGGCTAGGGTCAGTGTCACTACTGGTAGCATGAGGCGATACCTGGAACCTACAGAGGTTGCACAGGCAGTCCAAGGTTGCACAGGCACTCCAGGATGGCACAATTGATGTGCCATTGCCAGAAGGTTTGCTGTGTCTCCCAGCACAGTCTCAAGCGCATGGAGGAGATTCCATGAGACAGGCAGTTACTCTAGGAGAGCTGGATAGGGTCATAGAAGGTCCTTAACCCATCAGCAGGACCGGTATCTGCTCCTTTGTGCAAGGAGGAACAGGATGAGCACTGCCAGAGCCCTACAAAATGACCTCCAGCAGGTCACTGGAGTGAATGTCTCTGACCAAACAATCAGAAACAGACTTCATGAGGGTGGCCTGAGGGCCCAACATCCTCTAGTGGGCCCTGTGCTCACTGCTCGGCACCATAGAGCTCGATAGGCATTTGCCATTGAACACCAGAATTGGTAGGTCCACCACTGGCGCCCTGTGCTTTTCACAGATGAGAGCAGGTTCACCCTGAGCACACGTGAAAGGGTCTGGAGAAGCCATGAAGAATGTTACGCTGCCTGGAACATCATTCAGCATGACTGTTTTGGTGATGGGTCAGTGATGGTCTGGGGAGGCATAACCTCTACAGGCTAGACAATGGCATCCTGACTGCCATTATATATCGGGATGAAATCATTGGACCCATTGTCAGACCCTACGATTCTGTAGTGGGTTCTTGGTTCCTCCTGGTGCACGACATTGCTCGGCCTCATGTGGCGAGAGTATGCAGGCAGTTCCTGGAGGATGAATTAATTGATACCATTGAATGGCCCCCACACTCGCCTGCCCTAAATCCAATAGAACACTGCTGGGACATCATGTTTCGGTCCATCCGACGCCACCAGGTTGCACCTCAGACTGTTCAGAAGCTCAGTGATGCTCTGGTTCAGAGCCTGACGTTGTCAGACATGCATACAAGCACGTGGGGGCCATACAAACTACTGAGTACCATTTTGAGCTGATACAATGAAAATTCAGAAAAATGGACTAGCCTGCTTTATCATTTTTTCACTTTGATTTTTGGGGTATCTTTGAATTCAGTCCTCTGTAGGTTGATAATTTTCATTTCCATCAAACGATGGGGCATCCGTACATTCCTAACACATTACCCAGTCCATATCAGTATAGATATCCAGCATGATATTTTTCCCCATTGAGATCTGATGTGTTTTCAAAGTGTTCTTTTATTTTTTTTGAGCAGTGTATTAATGCCTATGTATACCTTAAATCTATTGTTTTCAGTATATTTGGTGTCATGCCTTACTTTATACAGTTTTCTTAAACAAATCCATCATTTGTGAATCTGTTGCAAAGTTCCTTACCTGAAGATCCTGCCATTAACAGCACTTCTTGTTGTAGGCTGACAATGCTAAGCCTTTACCTTGCCAGTTAGCTGCAATATTGTCAGCCTGCTGTGCACAATTCTGTCTGTCTGGCAACCTTGGGTAGACCTGATTGACAGCCCAATGGCCAGTCTATGGAGTGCGCACAGCAGGCTGACAACACTGCTACTAATTGTGAGGCAGTGGCTTAGCCTTGTCAGACTGAACAGGAAGTGATGTTACTGGCAGGATCTCCAGGTAACAAACTTTACAACAGATTCACAATAAATGATTTGCATAAGAAAACTTTGTACTGTGAGGTGTACACAAAACAGATTTAAACACAATATCTATTTTAATAGATTATAATTAAAAATGGATAAATCAACCTATGATCAGCTGGCACATAGAATCTGAAACGTCTTTATGGAAATAAATAAAAGCAATTGATATAGTATATGTGCATATCACAAATCACACTGAAGTGTATGAGACATGGCAAATCATTTATGCCATTGGTGTGAATGTTTCCAGATCTGTTGATAGATTGCCAATGAATGTCCTCATATCGAATGATGATCTTATTAGCACAACGTGTGATTAAAGAAGAAAGCCAGCCAACATTAAAGGATAAGTTCACCTTCAGGAGCATGTTACTGTTATACCCATATCTACATTGTAACATGTAACATGCTTCTAAGCACCCACCTCTGGCCACCAGCACTCCCCTCTCTGTGACAGTGACGAGGATTCTTCTCCAAGCATCTGCTGTCACAATTTGAAAACAGTGTGGCCATGCAGAGCTGTGCTCACACGACCGCATCATCCATCCACAGTTTAATGTGAATCAATAGACTACAAGTACTGTTGCTGACGGCATGTAGTTCTCAATGAACTGTGAGGACACCGGTGAACACTTTGGTGGTTCATTGATTCTTACTGCTATTTAGTAACTGCCTGCCCGTATGGGGGGTATGGACTGCCAGCTTGCAGAGAGTCAAGGGTGCAATGCTTTACAGGCTTCAATTTAAAAAAAAATAATAAATGCACATTTTTTTACCTGCAAAATGATGTGCATTTTTTTTTTTTTTTACAAAAAGCGAACTTAGCCTTTAAAAGTTCAGTATTATGTGGCATCCACTGAGTAAAGGTGCTCTGCATGACCTTTTCATTTCCTTCTTTGCCAAGACAATATATCCTTAACGTGTATTGCATTGTGCTCTGATTGTAAGAGAATGTGTTCATTTCTAATCCAATCCATGGATTTCTCCAGTGAAATAAGGTGAGACGTTAGAGGTCCTTGTAGCAAAGCCACAGAGACTGAGACTGAAGATCCAGGAATAAATCTTTAATGCTATCCAGGAATTTATCTTTAATTCTCGGTATCATGTCACTTGTAGCTTTAAACGTCATGGAGTCATCTACAAGTGTCAGAACCGAGTGCATCATAGCCAGATATTAAAGTGCTGTTCAGAAAAATATCAAGATCCATCAGGGGATCACACTTTGCACCACTGCACCCAGAAATAAAAAATATTTTGTATTGAGTTCCCCATAAAAGTATAAGTTGTCGTTCAGCAACCTTTCCCAAAAAAACCCCTATACAATGAATTATCTTCTGAATAGTACATTCCTGCTCTCCTCCCCTTTCAAATAGGAGTGCTGCACCCCCTCTAATCATATATGTAACTGTGAGGGAGGGGCTCTCCACAAACACCAATGACCCCTCAATCCCCCCCTCCATCCTGCTGCCGGCCACTCGGGCCAATTCATACTGCACAATGCATTCACTCCATCTTTAGCTGTAGCAGTTGATTTCATCTGGAGAAGGCGAGACCGCATTGCGCAGTTTGAATGGCAGTACGGAGGAGGATTGAGGGGTCAGAAGTGTTTACAGAGAGGTTCCCCCACAGTTGCATGTGTAATGAGAGGCGGTGTAGCACTTCTAACAGGGGGAGTGCTGGTATGTAATATTCAGAGAATATGGAATTGAATAGCAAGCTTTTTGGAAAATGTTGCTGAAGGGTAACTTATACATTAAAGAGGAACTCAGTAGAAAACATTTTTCATTTCTGGGTTTGATCCCTTGCTGGACTTTGATATCTTCCCCCACCTTCAGTTGTAGCGTAACGGTTAGGATCCAGCTGTGAGCTGAACTTCAGATTTTTTTTTTTCATTGGAAAGCATTTTTCATCATTTCCAAAGAATAATAGTTCTGCAACAGTAAGGGTGTGGTGAGATAATACCAAATTAAAAAAGAAAAAAGCGCCACTTACAAAAAACACCAAAGCGTCAGCAGCATATCCCACCCAAAATAAATTTTGGCAACAATAATCCTAATTAAAAGGTATGCACTAATAACAAACTTATACAAAGGTGTATATCATCATCCAAAAAAAAAAAACATTCAGTGTTTTAAATAAATAATTATAGTGTACAAACATAAATTAGTGTCCAAAAAATATATATTTGTATCTTCAGTGACTTGAACCAATTGTGAAAAATCCACCACCAAAGGAGATTAAATGAACTCACCAGAGCTAATGGCTGGTCAGATTATAAACCAGCCTTAGCGCTTGTGCTCTGGGAGCAATGAACCCGATGTCCAAATAGATATGGTGATGTTTCAGATACTTCCAGATAATAGTAATCACAGACAAACAACTTTGCAGCCCAAGCTCCTATGATGAACTTCTCCACTCTTTCTCATACCTCCATGAGAGCATGCAGTACACTCAGGGAAAAAAAGAGAACATAATGGTGCAATACATTTTTTGGACACTAATATATATATTTTTTTGGACACTACTAATTTATGTTTGTACACTATAATTATTTATTTAAAACACTGAATTTTTTTTTTTTTTTTGGATGATGATATACACCTTTGTATAAGTTTGTTATTAGCGCATACCTTTTAATTAGGATGATTGTGGTGAGATAACCCTGAAGGAGTCACATCCAGCAGTGAGGATCAGAGAATAGTTTGGTACCCTTCCAATTTAAATTTCACTTACATACCCTGTAAATTTTATTGGAGTGAGGTATAGTATGTAAGGTATCAGTTAGCCTTCCATAAGGACTAGGCTTCTATCTCTGCAATGATTACAGGGGATTTCCTAAAAGTGAAGGTCACCCCTCCCAATTCCCAGAGTTTTATGGAACAGACAGCTGTAATTTCAGATCTTACTTGCAGCATCACCTGCTGGTTAAGTTTGGTATAGCAGCACGACCAAATCATGCAATAGTTTCTCATGGGAACTGCCGTACATGTATTTCTCTTTTCTGATCTGATTCTGAGAAGGGTTTTTTACTATTAGATCAATAAGACTGTGAAATGTGTGGACTAAGCATTGGAATCCAGAAATCAAAGAGCTGTTTTTTTTTCTTTACAAGGTTCAGAGTTTGTAGGTCTCCTGTGTTTATTAACTTGCTTTCCTTCTCCATCTAAGAATACAACAGAGTTTGCTTTGCGCAGTAGATAATATTGTCTCTGGAAGTCCGTTGCGTCCTATGAAGTTATTTCACACAGTTTATATATCTCCCCTCTCTTCTTTCATAGGAACCTTTATAAAATATAAAAAATTTAAAATATTTTAATCCACCTTTCAGCTTTCACTGGTGAGCCCTTTCAGGAAATCTTGCAATCTTTCTATGGATTAATTTAATTTAATTGTACTTATAAATCCTGAATGGAAAATATTTTAGCACATTTGGAGCAGATTAAAGATTAATGTTGTTTTTTTTCAGAAATATTAAAATACAGCAACAATAGTTGTTAGGCAACAATTTAGCACACACTGTTAACTTTCTGCAAATCTGCGTACAAGATCAACTGCATCTTCTATGGAATATGTAATTGTATGAACCTACTTTGATCTTCTGCCCTTTGGATGTGTTGGTTGAGTTGGTAGGCTCTCTTGGCTTGCGTATCTTACAATTTCAGTTAGTCCTCATGCACATTGGATATTTAGCCCCTGTGTATAGGACTCCAGCATTTGTGTGCAGGTGGAAGGTTCAGGCACACTGTCCAGGCGTGCTGCAGGTGACCTGTAAAATTGAGATTAGATACGAGTTGTGTAGTGAGCGCTTACTGTAATGAAAATTTGGTACAAGCCGCTAGAACACCAAAAAGGTAACCAACATAACCTTCCAAGACAATATATAGACAAAAAGGTGCAGCGCTATTAATGAAATGGTGAAATATCAACATACACTCAATTTTTAAGAGTATAAAGATGAGGACATTAGATCATATGTTCATCTCAAAATAAATTCGATGTTCAGTCTAATGTCCAAAAACATATAAAAGGATGTGATGTGCAAATTCTGCCGGGTCTCCTTTGCCAATAAGAGTAAATGATCCAAAGGTGAGCAGGAAATAAATTAAATGCGCACTCACCAGAAGTGCATTTAAAATACTCATGAAAGAAGTTTCCTCTCTCATCAGGTACATCTAGGTCCTCCGCACTCATAGCGCTGCACCTTTTTGTCTATATATTGTAAAATTGAGATGCTGACAGCTGCTGCAACTATACAGGGCTGGATGATGCACCAAATGGTACTAATGCTTAGGGCAGCATGTGCCTGGGAACGAATGCCTAGGATGAAAGCAGTCTGTGTTGCCGGCGTTTGTCCCTGGGTGCATACTGTTCTGATGGTGTGGCTGTCCTGTCTCTCAACCCCTTTCTTACGTCTATTGGTAATTTTAAAGGTATAGAATAGAACGTGATCTGTCCTCTGGACTTATTGCATTGGGAGAAGAAGTAAAAATTGGGCTGATTAGGTCTTCAACTGGCATACAGCTATGGTGGCCATGCATAGAATGACTCTATATATCATTGTATTGTTTATCAATTTACTGTCTGGGAGAAGAAATACAAATGAAAGATCAAAAAGATTGTTCAGTGCGCCATACACATAAAAATCATATCAGTCTATCTACTTTCCCACAAATGGATTTTTCTTTCAGGATAGATTGGTTTTGCTCAAAATAAATTTAAGACACAGTATTGGGTCTTTCTATAAAATGTTCTTTTCATGAATGTGACAAATATCCTCACATTTAGAACACAAATTGCTGTATTTTTTTCTAATATATGTAGTTGCTATATCATCATCGCCACCTAGTGGCAATAATACTTTTTTCCTGATTGAGGTATTTATGTAAATTTATGGGGGAAAAAAAACACATTATGGCCGGTTGGTGGCCCAGAAGCAAGGCACTAGGCAATATGGTGGCACAAGGGAGACACCAGAGACAAAGGAGACGTGTTATAGGTGGACATTCCACAAAGGAAGCTTTCATAAGTAAAGACAGCACAACACTAGAGACAGGAAGCAGTGATGATGTAAGGTATGCAGCTACATTTATTCATTTATTTTTTAAAGGAAGGTTGAAAAACACGTTAACATTGAGATTCGCACATGACAGCAACTAAGGATAAAACTCTGTGCTGTCTTATAGTAACCACATCATTTTCTTTTCCATTTTCCAATCTGTCTTAGTAACACGAAGAAAGCTGATTGGTTGCTATGAGCAGTGCCAATAGTTTTTCTTTCTGAAGCTGTCATATATAAAACCCAATTTATGAATCACCCCGCTCTGATTGGTTCGGCAGCGAACACCTTTATTGTTTATGGTTTTCTCAGTGTCCCTCGAGCACATGTTCTTCCCTGTCTTAAGTATAGAGATGGGGGAATAGACCGCTTACTGCGCTCTTGAAAGTCCTAAGTTGCTCGCCAGTCATGGGGAGCTCACAGCTATGGAGCAGTGCCTGCAGAACTGATATCAGGTCATGTTTTCTGGATTGGCCAGGTGACTTTTCAGCTTTCAGTGCTGTTGTACTTTGAATGACAATTGCGTGGTCATGCAACACTGTACCCATATTAAATTTTTATCATTTTTTTGCGACAGATAGAACTTTCTTTTGGTGGTTAATCACCACTGGGGTTTGTTAATTTTTTTGCTAAGCAAACAAAAAAAGATTGAAAATGTGAAAAAAAAGTTTTCTTAGTATCGCTTATAAAATTTTACAAATAAGTAATTTTTCTGCTTCACTGATGTGTACTTATAGGCTGAACTGATGTATGCTGATGAGGCGGCACAGATGGAACTTAATTAGGCGGCACTAATAAGCTGCACTGATATGGAAGCACTGATGGGCACTGATAAGTTGCACTGATTATCATTGTAGACAATGTACTGACAACCTTGCCGTTTATCGTCTCTCTTTTCTTCACACAGATGGAGCATGTGAGGAAAGCACTACCGATAACCGACAAGTCTGTTTACATGTGATCAGCTGTGATTGGACCCAGGGAGTGTGCGAGAGGCAGGGGTTTGGGAGGGCGTCCATGGACGCCCTCCCAAAACTGGAGGACCGCTCTGTAGCCGTCTTTCAGCTATAGCATTGTCGGGAAATGGTTAATTATCTTCTTCGACTAAAACATGATAGCAGTATAAAACACAAACAGTTCCTCCAAGGCATAACTTGAGAGCATAATAGAGTCCATGTATGGTAGCGAAGTCCTTTATCGGTGACATGGTCTATGGCTGGTGGCTCCCCGAGAACCTTGCATAATTAATCCTCTTCTGGATATGGAATCAGCAGCACCACAGCACACTGGTACACATAGGGATCACCTGATTTCTCAGCTTTCCCTCAATTTATATCACAGGTGGGCTGGCTGAAACCCAAGAAGCCCTCAAACTGGTAGCCAAGATTTTAACCCTTACCCAACCCATCCTGGGCTGGTGGCTAATTACTTTAACCCCTTGATGCTGACCATACGCAAATATGCGGCCTCTCGGCGGCTGAGCCTTGACGCCAAGTGGCCGCATATTTGCATACCATTTGAAAACATATGTGCTGAGAGCTTGCACCCTGCGCGCTCCCAGCACATATGTCGGTGTCTCACGGAAAGGTCCCGATCTCCCCTTGTGATCGGGACCTTTTCCGATCATGTGACCGCTGTGACACAAATCACGGCGGTCACATGATGCTAAAACCCCCGCCCTGCCTCCTGGCATCTGAAACGCCTTAAAGGGCTGGGAGGCGCCGGCGTGAAGAGGTAAAAGGGATTCAACCTGCTTACAAGCAGTGATTGACGTCAGGCGTAATTTCACCTTTGTTTCTATAAAGCAATCTGGAATGGAGTTTCTCTTCCTTTTTTCAGTCACAGCACTCTTTAAAGTATGCAAAGGCACCCCAGTCAAAAATATAAAAAAAGTGTAAATGTTATGTTATCAATGGAGTCCCCCTTCACATCAGTCACTCTCTTTCATCAGTGGCCCCCCATCACATCAAACGCCCCATTCACATCAGTCACCCTCTTTCATCAGAGGCCCCCCATCACATCAAAGGCCCCATTCACATCAGTGACCCTCTTTCATCAGAGGCCCCCAAACATTGGATGCATCTATACCTGAGAGCCCCATCACATCAGAGCATCTCCATTTGTCCTTACCCTACAGCATCATTGGTTGTTATGGTGGTGGAGGCCAGCCCGTCCTCACCATTTCAACTCACGATGAAGCTAATCTTGCGCAAACTGGGTTCTGTGTTAGTGGCACCCCAAGGAAACCCAGATGGCACCCCAGGCTGCCATAGTATCATGGCTGAGAAACACTGTTATAGAAAACAAGACCTGTTATGGAGTCCCTAATGTCTAGCTTGAGAAACCCTGATGTAATGGAACCTAGAGAATCCAGAAACTTCAAAATATTAGGAAAGTAATCAAACATCTTTCAGTAAATTGTAAAACATGAAGCATTTTAAGTGGAATTTATTTTATATAATGCTAAATGAGTATTAACCTAGACGAGAAGAATTTATTGTGTATGACTGCCAAGTACAAATAAGTTCAAGCAAATTAAATGTTATGCTGTATGTTGGAGTAAAAGAAGGTAAAAATTGTTTGTAGTTGCCACTAACAAATATACAGACCACTTCTTTCTTGTTAAATAGTAATTATCATAATGTCATTTTCCAGAGTGAGCCATATCTGAACACAGCTCATGGTCACATGATCTGCTACTGGGATGGCACTGCTCATTACCTGATGTACTTATTGATGGTGGCAGCGATCGCTTGGGAGTAAGTGATTGAAGCATAACCAACCTATATATTATATACATTTGTTTGTAGTTGTAATTAACAATAATCCAATTTTCATAGACAATATTGGGTATGAATAAAAATAAAATAAATAGTTACTACAGGATGCATGTATTTATAAGGTTTAGTTTGCACATCAACAATAAGAAAGCCTGTGCTTGCTGGCTGCATGCTTATAACTGACTAAAACAGATGGTCCCATATCTGCTAGCAATAAAAGAGGGGCTGTGTATCTCCTCTGAGTCATTTATCAGTCTGTGGAATTTGAGTTTGTTACTTGCTGAATATGAAATAGGTATATGCAATATTTACGTGATTGAAAAGACATACAAAGAAAAATGGGTTTTCTCATACCTTAAATATTGAATTTGACCCATGCAATTCACGTTATCTATATGGAGGCAGTATAGGGTTCAACTTGCCCTGTCTTCCCTGTGTTCCCCTCTGACCAATGTCATACTTAATCCCAATCTCCCAGATAGTCTGGCTTCGGCCCGTGTGCGCCCCTGGGCCGAAGCCAATCTATTTCTGTTACGACACTTGGTCCATCCAGCGACTCGTAAACTTAAACCCTTTTCTGAGATTCAAAAAGCCACTCGTATGTCACCTCACCAATATTATGCTTATCTACAGATACGTCACTTTTTTTCCTCCAAAACCCCATCTTTAACTTTTTAGAAGCCTACCCCTTTTTGAACGTATCTGCATTCAGGGTCCATATCAATGGGGTATAATTTCCTCTAAGCTAAGCTAGGTATAATTTCCTTATAAGCTGCTTCAAGTCGCCTGCCCCCTTACTATTGATACACTCCTTTATATGCGTAAATGGCCCCGAATCCTCCAACGGGATATTGCCTTGGATCAATGGAGCAAGATTTGGGAGGCTGCTTCCTGATCTTCTATATGTGTAGTATATAAAGAAAATACTTATAAAATATTGATGTTTTGGTATAAGACTCCTGAGGTTCTCCATGCTCACAATCCAAGTGTTTCTTCTGTCTGCTGGCGATGTGATGAGGAAACTGGCACTCTCTTCCACATTTTTTGGACTTGCCAGCACATTGCACCCTTTTGGAGAAAGGTCCTTAACATTTTACAGCTACTATTACAGGCTCCTGTTCCATTTGAGCCCATCCACTTTTTGTTGGGCCTACCTTTTTCAGGCCTCTCCAAATTTGCCAGGAAATTATCCTCCCATGTTTTAACAGTGGCCAGGAGAACCATTCCCATGCATTGGCTTTCTACTACGCCTCCTACACAATCGGAATTGTTGAAGGTTATAGTAGAGATTAGAAGAATGGAACATCTCACTGCTTTGCATGCTAACTCTGTCCCCATCTTTGAAGCAGTTTGGGAACCATGGGATATTTCCATTTATGATTTGCCTACTTCATTGACTGAAAATGATGATCCACTGTTATGTATTGACATTGTATGTACCTAAATGCCTCTCATCGATGAGCCTATTTCTCTGTTTCTTTATTGCTTTGTGCTTGTTATGCAACTCTGTTTGTTGTAAGCACTTTAAAAATCAATAAAAAGTAAGTTCTAAAAAAAAAAAATATATTGAATTAATGTTTAGAAAAAAAAAAAGATAAACGTGAGGGACGATACTTACAACAAATGAGAAGTGTCCCTTGTGCTGCTAGCTGCTGTCTTACTTTTAATCTTCCATCATCTACCCCCATACCCTGGTAATCTTTCAGTGCTGCAGAGGTTAATACAACCACTGTACCTGTCATAGGTGCTCATCAATACGCCCCCTTCCTTCAGTCGTTGAAGTTGTACTATAGCTTCCATCATCAGTGTAGTGATGTAGTGATGGTGCTCAATGGATGAAGGAGGCAGACCTTTCATTTATCAGCCCCCAGCTCTACGCACACTACAAATCCCATTGGCCATAATCCACCTTTTTTATTCTACCTGTAACACACTGACACTGATACTACTTTAAAAAATGCTTTTTTTAGGAAAAAATTCTACCCAAAATATACTAACCATTGACATTTGACCCTTACCTTGACCCCTAACACTGACCCTGGCTCTGACGTAGATCAAACCTTGATCTAGCTATTTTTTTTTAATTTTTTAAAATTGTTATACACACTTTTGTTTGTTTATATCTTCCTCTCCTGAAAGGAAAGTAAGATACAATGTATCTTTCCCTTCATTCAGAAGAGGACATAAACACAGGGGTGAGCTCACAGTGACTGATCATTGTGATAGCCAATCAGAGGCTATCACGGCGAACAGGTGATCCTGAACCGAGAATCTCAGGTCCCGATCATTAGTACAAGACCCTGGGGCTCTTGGCAAGCATAAAGAGAGATAGGAGATGCATGAAGGTAAAAAACCTTGAACCTTTACAACCACTTTAAGGAAGTACCGTATTTTCCGGCGTATAAAACAACTTTTTGACCCTTGAAAATCTTCTCAAAAGTCGGGGGTCGTCTTATACGCCGGTATACGTCAGGGCGGCACTTTTTAGGGGGGCGGCGCGGTGCCGCCGCCTCCCCCCCTTCCAACGGAAGGGACACTAAGTACAGGGGTGGGCAGAGGGCTGCTGTCTCTTACCTGGCTCCCACGACGATCCAGTCCAGGTAGCACTGCTCCTTCAGTCACTCCGGCCACTCCCTCACACCTGCCGCTCGGCTCCGCCTACCTCACCGGTGATTGGCCGCCAGAACTGTAGCTCAGGAAAGGCACACAGGCGGCCAATCATGGGCGAGGAGGCGGAGCCGAGCGGACCCGCGAAAATCGAGTGAGGGAGCCGGTAAGTGTGCAGTGCAGAGGTGCTGCTGCAACCACATATGCTGGCTGCAACAGCACCATACTGGAACAGGGGTCAGCAAGTGTCATTGGTGTCAGTGGGAGTAATAGTGCCCCATCATTGGTGTCACTGATACTAATGATGGGGCATTATTCCTCCCACTGACACCAATGATGGGGCACTATTCCTCCCACTGACACCAACGATGCGGCACTATTACTCCCACTGACACCAACGATGGGGCACTATTCCTCCCCCCACTGACACCAACAATGGGGCACTATTCTTCTCCCCACTGATGAGGTACTATTCCTCCCACTGACACCAATGTTGGGACACTATTCCTCCCACTGACACCAATGATGGGGCACTATTCCTCCCACTGACACCAATGATGGGGCACTATTCCTCCCACGGACACCAATGTTGGGGTGCTATTCCTCCCACTGACACCAATGAAGGGGCACGATTCTTTGTTCTGACACCAATGATGGGGCACGATTCCTCGCTATAACATCAATGATGGGGCACTATTCCTCACACACTGACACTAATGATGGGGCACCATCATTGGTGTCAATGGGAGGAATAGTGCCTCATCATTGGTGTCAGTGGGAGGAATAGTGCCCAATCATTGGTGTCAGTGGGAAGAATAGTGCCCCATCATTGTTGTCAGTGGGAGGAATAGTGCCCCATCATTGGTGTCAGTGGGAGGAATAGTGCCCCATCATTGGTGTCAGAGCGAGGAATCGTGCCCCATCATTGAAATACCATACCATATTGAAATCAAATCTGACGTTTTTTAATTTTTATTTGGTGTGCGTTGGAAGAGGGGTAGTCTTATACGGCAAGTATAGCCCAAACCCTATATTTTAACAGGAAAAGTAGGGGGTCGTCTTATACGCCAGAAAATACGGTACCATCATTTACTTAATATATAAGAGTTAAAGTGTATCTAAACTCAAAACCAAAAATTTTATATATTGCAGATTACTGACCCTTGGTGTGGTGGCTGCATTTGCTTTCTTTTTTTTTCAAGCTTCTTCTGATTTATTTTCACCTGGTGATCCTTTTGCAAATAACACTTTCTGTCCCTGGTTTGCTATGTCAATCCTCCATTGTATCAATGTAGGGAGCCATGGCTGTTGCCCTAGGCTGCTCTCCTGATATTGACTGCACACATGTCAATATCTCTTCAAATCCATTACATGGGGGAGAGGGCAATAGGTAGTTTACAGAAGATAGGAAGGAAGGTATTCTTCTGTGCAGCTGACAGGAAGAGCCAAGGACACAGCATTTGTGGCAGTATCAACAGGTATTTTCTGTATTTGCTTGAGAAAATTAAAAAAAATGAATGCACTCACCACATGTAAGGACAGTGAGCTACAATATATTGCAGTTTTGTTCTTGGGTTTAGTACGGCTTTAACTGCATTTCCACCAGAGACACGAAGAGGTGTTTTTTTGTTTTGTTTTTTTGCACCTTTGAATATTAAACTCTATTGTTTCTCCTGTAGCCCCTGTAGTTCTGATTACTATTATTTTAATTAAGGATTAATGCAAATGATTTCAGATGCAGCAATGCAGGATCACTTTCATTATTGAGCTCCTAAAGTCCTATAACCTTGTGTCTATTATTCCTGTGTACATAGGGACTACTGAGGATAATTTTTGTATGGTTTGATTTCTAATTAACCTGGAAGATGCACACACATATACTCAAAAAAAACCTTACAATTTGTTCAGAAACACAGACATTAATACTCATTGCTGTTTTCTTCTACAGTCAAAATTACAGGACAATCGGCCTTTATTGGATTGGATCTATTATAATGAGTATGGCTGTCTTTATACCTGGAAGCATTGCAGGTATGTACCACAGGTGCAGAATAAGCACTCAAATGTAATATAATTGTACAACACAAAGGCCCCATACATACATACTGGCATGCTGGTGAAACTGCTTCACAATTTTTAGCCCATTTAAATGAATGCCTTAACACAACAAAAGTAAAAGTATAACTAAAGGCAAAACGTGATTTTTTAGTTTTGGATAGAGTAGAGATGTATTAGAGCACCTATTAGGTTTCTACTGCAGTCTGTGCCCCCGCTAGGGAGATTCACTCTCCCTGTTTGTTCTGTTTACCATTATCATCAAACGTGAAAGTAAAAGAAAACTCAAATTTTGGGTTGTCTGCAGAAATAATAGCAGTAATAGAGGGTACATTTTCCAATGGGGACACTAGTTCTGGTGACCTGGGGGTCCCAAAGGAATTCCCTTAATTTGCAGGGATTTCCTCTCACTTCCTGTTTTGGCTATGGAACAGGAAGTGAAGGGAAATCTCTCCAATGGGACACAGATGACAAAAAATAAACTGACGGGTTACTCTATCCAAAATGGGAAAAAATTGCCTATAGTTCTACTTGAATGCACAGCATAATGTGTGTTAACGTATTGTGACTGTATGAACCCAGAATAAGGGCCTTATTTCCGATCGCCTACACTGACCATGGCTTAGGATGGCAAAGGTAATAGGAACACACACAGCCACTGACATGGCAGGCTTCTGTCAGTATAGTGTAAAAATAATGTAAAAAGTTCCAGGCTTCCACCCCGCCTGCCCCTGTAATCAGTCAGGTCCTCATTGGTGCTGTGCCTGAATAATCTGTTCATTATCTTGGTGGAAGAGTATACTGTGTACCTTCAGTTCACCCATTCTGGGGCTGTACACCTACAACCGATCTAGAACAATAGTGCCTGTCACTTCTTGCTAATGGTTCCAGTGATCCCTTGTTTGTGCTTTGTCTCATTGAACTTTTCTGTAATTCAAGAAAGTTTTTTACATCCTTGATTACCACTCGTAAGATCGGAATAAGAGAAGGACCCTTTTTGAATACTTTAGTTTGGTCTGAAATGAAAAGGTCAATTGTGCCAGCACCTCTTATTTTAGTCATCGGTGGATACTACTGAGCTGAATCACCCAATGCTCTTTTTTTTCAGTTTGGGACTTCATGGACAAGAGAATCATTTGCTGGCTTGAAAGTGAACCTGTGCTTTGCCTATGCCAGGCAAACCAACAGGTACACTTTAAAAATAGCCCCACTGGTAGTACATGTTTCTTATTCTTCTTCCTTCCGTATGACAGAGCTGGTGTCCAGTGATTTGTTCCATAGGATTCCTGTGATGTCACAGGTGTAGATTGTCCTGCTGCAGTTCCCAGCAGTTAGGAGAAGCTGATGGGCGACATATTCCTGCCAGTGTCCATCCACGCCATTTATGTAACACATGCACACAATCACACTACTTATATCAAAACCCTAGGATTTATGTCATTACAGTCACTGCACATACTTATTACGGTACAATCTGAACATAAACAGGTCTTTCTATTCTACAGGGAAATACGGTACACGGATTGGTTCGACAATTCTCCTAAACTTGCCATATTTTTGCCTTCCACTCTGGGCTGCATTCAAGATCTACAGACAGCCATCCGTTATTCATAACCCGTCTATAGAGGTAATGTATTTAACATTGACTAATCTGGATTCTAGGTGATCTAGAGAAAGCAGCTGGATGTCATTGATATTGTTATGCCAAGAAACATGCTTTTAAAATGGTTACCATTAACGCTGCCTTAGCTATGTGTGACCTGGTTGGAATATACACAAATAACTCTAGTAATCCCCCCTGACTTTTATATGTGTAGTTTGCTCCCTTACCTCCTTGCCCCTTTTCACCCTTCCTCATCTTTGGTCAGGTTTATAAAGGCCTTTTTACTCTCAAACAGAGACAGATGTAGGCAGAATGGGCCCCTAGGCAAAGTATTAGCTTTGACCTCCCATCTCTGACTAGCATTGATATGGATTGCACAAATAAGGTGCCCCAATTTGCACTGTCTCCATTGGCATGGCCCCATCAGATACAAACTCCATAAGTATGTCTTCCCTTGTAAACACAGAGGCAGGTAGACAGCTATGACCAATTGCCCTGTACTGCTAATTTAGTGCAAGAGAATGAAGGTTATAGCTGGGACCTCTTGACATCTACTGGCCCTAGGATCCTGCTTAGGGTTGCCTTGTGGATGATCTGGCTCTATGCTGGTTGCTCGTGCAGTGTATATGGAGGACAGAGTACATTCTGTATATAAAAAGATTATAGCAAATCATGGTTTCAGTCCTCATGCACACTGGACGTTTTTACAGCAGCTGTTTGGCTTTTGGAGTTTTCTTCTACAGCTAGTAAACCCCCCACCATGTTATCCTATGTGTCCATGCACACATGTTTTTTGGCTGGGAAAAAAAACAGAACTAGTGGGTTTCTAGAGGAGTTTTTTAGCTGTAAAAACACTCCTAACACTGAAAATCGTGGTAAAACATGGTAAAACACTGCAAACCGGCATTTTTTTAGTTTTATAAACCGCAAATGCGAAATAAATGTGGCAAAACACTAATGGAAAAACTCTAAAAACCGCTGAAAAACTCAGCGTTATTAAAACGCCCCATGTGCATGGAGCCTAATTATTACTAGCTTCTATGTCTGTTGTTGGAATATTTAGAAACAATTCAAAAGCTTTAATAGGCACTTCTGAAATGGTGATGACCCAAGCTGAACCCGTACGCACTTTAGCTCCTACCCCAAATAACTATTTAAAAAAAAAAAGAGGAACGAAAACTGTTTCTGCGACAACAAATTAAGATACATTTGCTTTATACTTACCAAAACATCTTTGCATTCCCCAATAAAGCTGGGAGGCTATTGGCTTATCTAGCCAAACCCGAATACAGCCCGACCGCTATACCTACAAATATAGACCACCTAGGGAACAAATACACCCAAACACCACAAATCCTGGATGCCCTCGCATCATTTTATACACTAGAGGAATTAGATTCCTGTGTGTAAATTATGCCTTTTCCCATCATTATCCCCAAGTGCTGGGGAGGACCTGCAATACCCCATTTACAAAGAAAAGACCTGCAGTACCCCTGTGACAAAGCTTGCAATTTCTAGATTCCTAACTAGAAAACACTTGGTTTTGGATGGGTTTCCAGCAGACTGGTATGGTGTGTAAAACACATTGTCTAACAGCGAGCAGATGTGTAGGTTGGGCCACCTTTATTAATATTTGTATTTACAATTTACAACATTCTAATGATAACCCTGAGAGCTGTGTGGAGGTCTTTTTAGAGAAATGAAAAGCATTCGATAGAGTGGAGTGTTCTATCGTTTAGAAATCTTTCACTCCCATGGATTTGGACCTAACCTAATAAATTGGGTTGAACATCTTTACACAGATTCACTAACATAGGAGTTAGCATGTTAATATAATTTCAAAAGCCATTTAAATTATTTTTATGCATACCAAAATGTTCATTAGGAAGTAGTATAGGCAAATACAAACAGTGCAGCATATTGTCCACATAAGAGCCAACAGGGAAGACTTGAAGATAAATCATTCTTTAATCTGTAGCTTTATTCAGAGAATAGCTGGTAATCCTGCCCTGAAACCCCCTGTACAGGCTCTTTCTGTTATAGGATGTCTCCCAATTGTTCTGTGTTTTCAGTCTTTCATGCAGGCTTCTGATGGAGACTACAAGTGCCCGTTTTAACAAACATTACATAGGCATGGTCCACCATTGTCACCATCAAGAAACCTTAAGAAACGCCTTGCATTCATTGCTGGAGTACATGCATGTAGATAGAAGGTGGCAGCAAAGCAGCTGCAGGAGATAAGCAGCACTGAGGGGTAACAAAGAAGGAAACATTGATTACAAAAATATTTTAATAAAAAGGGCATTTTTTATACGCAGTGCTTTATTTCAATCACTTAGGGTTTACATACATTTTTTTTATATGCATATTGAAGTTCCAGCTATTAATTAAAGCAGAACTATACTCACCTGTTCTCCAGCGCTGTGATTGCCCGGAGCTCCCCACTGGCCGCTGACATCTTCAACCCAACTTCCAGCTATCAATTCCCGGATGTTTCCATTAGCCAGGCCGAGATGATGTCACTCCCGCATATACAGCATGTCTCTTCTGCATTAAAAATCCTGCCTGTTACAGTTATTTTTACATAAAGTTCCACTTTAACATTAGTCTACATTGTTTTTGTAGGAAGCACAAAATATTCAGAAGAAAAATATATTCCGGAGACCAGTTGACTTGCTGCTAGCTTCCTATCTTTTATGTGCAAGTATCTTCTGTATATTCCGTGGAATGGTGAGTCATGATGTAATCATTGCATTGTGTAATCATTGTAATATGAGTGTATCAACTATTAAACTGATTTAGACATAAGTGGTATTAAACCCAGATCCAAAAATGTCATATATTGCAGCTTACCAATCATAAGCTGTGGTGGCTGCATTCGTTTTCCTTTGTTTAGGCTGTTTTCCCTTGGTGATCTGGCCAGTAACACACCTCCTGTATTAGAGTGCCCCCACTCTGGATGAGGGAGCAATAGGGACATTGTGGGGGTTTATTTACTAAAGCCGGATGTGCAAAATCAGACTCATATCTGCATAGAAACCAATCAGCTTCTAACCTCAGCTTGTTCTATTATGCTTTGGCAATAAAACCTGGAAGCTGATTGGTTTCTATGCAGAAGTGATCCTGATTTTGCACTCTTCAGCTTTAGTAAACAAACCCATCAGTCTGGGTGGAAAGGAAGTATCAGCAGAGAGATGGTAAGCTGCAATACAATAAATGCTTGTTTTTGGGTTTAATACTGCTTTAAATTGGCCACATATACACCTATATAATTGGAAACATATAGAGATTGACTTCATGTAAATTATACCATCAATACCTGTATGTGTTTTATCATTATGTTGTCACTTCTTTGCATGGCAAACGTTTACAACTCTATATAAAATGCAGTATAAAACATATGGAAGAGCAGGCATGTAACAATGTGTGAGTACGGATACTCGTATGAGTAACAAATGTGTAAAATGTTACCTTGCTGTGTTAATACATGAAGATAAGCGATAAGCACTCTATGAAATTATAGAACATTTTACTTTTAAGAGCAGTGTTGGTGTTAATTACCTTATCAGTGCAAAGAAATGAAAACATGATCTCAGTACAAATCCTTGCCTGTGTAGCCAGCTGTGTATCCAGAATCACTGGAGCATAGCACAGATAAATATGTAGAATCATTTATTCAGATTGCATATTTTTAGCTGTTGTGTTGTGGGCCTATCTGCTGTGCTGGGGAGCATGTCCAACCCACTTCCAGCCATGTGGTGGGGGAGCACCTGTACTCTCTAGCCCATTCCTGCCTGGCATAGGTTTGTCTCCTTAGACTTACTGAGGTGCTATTGGCATGGGATCTTTCCCTCGACACTATTACAGAGACATCCCAGCCTACCCTAATCAGCACCACCCAGGAGCCAAGCCCATAGCTTCCCCTTACAGCAATGGGCTTCAATGGCAGCTTCACCCAGTACAAGTTTATTTTCCAGAAGACCCTCCCGTCTTGAAATTAGGAGAAAGAAGAGTCCATGCAAAGGAAGCATTTTCATTATTTTGCTGGAGCAGAGTTGATTTACATACACCGATCATCCATACAGTAACTTTATGACCAACCACCCAATATTGAGAAGGTCCCCCTTTTGCCACCAACACAGCTGTGACCTGTCAAGGCATGGACTCCACGAGACCTCTGAAGGTATGCTGTGGTATGCTGGCACTAAGTGATCAGTAGCAGATTTTTTTAAAGTGGTTATAAATGCAAATCATTTTTTACCTTAATATTTTTCCTGCATTAAGGTAAAAAATGTCCCACTACTTGTTTCCACCCCCCTACACACACTCACTTACTCGAGCCTGATCTCTGTCCAGCACATCTCACAGATGCTTGATTGGATTAAGATCTGGAGAATTTTGAGGCCAAGTCAAACTCTTTGTGTTTCCAAAACCATTTTTGAACAATTTTTGTTGTGTGGCAGGGTGCATTATGCTGCTGAAAGAGGGCACTGCCATCAGGGGAAACTGTTTTCACAAAGAGGTATACATGGCCAGCAATGTTTAGGTTGGTGGTATGTGTCAATCAATATCCACATGAATGGCAGAGCCCAAGGTTTCCCAGCAGAACTTTGCCCAAAGCATCACACTGCCTCCGCCAGCTTGTCTTCCCTTCCCATACTGCATCCTGTTGCCGTCTCCTCCCCAGGTAAGTGGTGCATGCGCACCCAGCCATCCACATGGTGTAAAAGAAAGCATGATTTATCAGATCTTTTTTCATTGCTCTGTGGTCCAGTTGTGATGCTTGAGTGCCCATTGTAGGCACTTTTTGGCTGTGGACATGGGCCAGCATGGGCACCCTAACCAGTCTGGGGCTACACAGCCCTATAGACATCAAACTGCTATGCCCATTTATTCTGCCTTCAACATATCAACTTCAGGGACAACATGTTTGCAACCTAATAATATATACTATTGACTTTCAGGTGCCATTCCAACAAGATAATCAATGTTATTCATTTGACCTGAAAGTGGACATAAAGTTAAGGCTGATCTGTGTATTTACATCCCTTTAGTCATTTAAACAGTGATGGCACATTTTTTAGTTGCAAACATGAAACAGCAAAGATATGAGCCAAGTCCAGGAACTCTGGGGATCTCAAACCTACACTGTGCCTAGGCACTGCCACTGCCTACTCTTCCCTATTTATGGGGACATCTAGTGGGCAAATTGGGGAACTACACCTGATGTTTCTGTGTCCAGAGCTACTAGACTTTCATCAATACAAGTATGAAAAACATGACTCTAAGATCTTACTAGGTATATATTTATTTAATAAAATGACTTTAATTATGATGCTGATTTCTGTCAACTGTGTTGCTGATGTTAGTCATTCAAAGTTTGCTGTTAGTTTTGTAGCATTGCTTATTTGTTTCCATGTCTTCCATTTTTAATACATTTAGGCACTTTGTTACTCCTCAGTATTAAAAATACATTAAGCATGTTTGAGAATGATCCATAGAGTAAGTAGGGTGTGTAGAGAAGTCATGTGATCTTTCAGACTAAATACATATCTCATAGCAGCAAACAATACCGCAGAGTTAATAGACGCTACTCTGGTCAGAACAGGCTGGCTTGATCCACCAACTAGTCCAAGAAATATGTATAGATCACATTGACATCAAGGGATTTTTACTAAAATCAGAGACTTTTCAAGAGAATGTGCACTTTGCAAGGGAAGTTTCCCTTAGCTTAGTGAACAAGGTGAAGTTCTGCTGACTCCTATCATTCAATAACTTTCCATGCATGTGATTTGGTATTCTTTGCAAAGTGAATTTTCATCACATTTACTAAGCTACGGGAAAAGTTCATGCAAAGTGAACAGTCTATTTGCCTTTAGTAAATCAACCCCAAAAAGTAGTTCATATGCAGTTATAGTTCCAGAATCCTAGTGCAAGAGGTGAGCCAGAGCCCCTACATCTCAATACATGAGGTGTCTTCCCATAGCTTCATCCAATGAGTCCATCCCTGTAACCCCCTGTTACTCTTCCCCCAAATAATAACTTCACCTCTCCCTATCTAACAAGCACATAACCCCTTCATCTCTCTTCCTTACAAATACTAAGCCTCCATTCATACTAGTGCAATTTGTCGTGTGTCTGCCATGCCTGACAATGGAAATCTCTTTGTTCTCTTGTTCACATCAATGCAACATGGTGCAGGGTGATTTTTGAAAAGGTGCAAGTGCTCCTCTTGGTGCTACCCAGTGTGTTCTTGGCCCCATAGACTTTGATGGGAACACAAGAGAAATGTGTGTTTTTCTCTCAGTTTTGTGCTTAAAATCCAGTCTGTTCCTCCTAGCAACAATGATGTCACAACTGATATTGATAGTTTTTGGCCAAAACAAAAATGCATGAGATATGAGAAAACACTCATAAACATGATATAAAAACACACTGAAGGATGCAAGGTTATGCAGCAGCACTAGTGTAAATCTAGGGTTACACTCATTTCAGTGGCCTACACTCATTCCCAGCTTCTATAACCCCATATCTTCCCTAAGTATCCAACATTTCATCCATCTCAACACCCACGTTGATCCTAAAAAGGCTAAATGGCACAATGACGTCACACCCAAGCATACTATATTATGTCATCACTTATGCAGATAGATTGTGTGTGGCAGAAAGCAGGATTGTTGGGGCCCCCAGCAGCAGAGGTTTTGCTCCTATGTCACTTTGTTAGATTCTGGAAATTGACACTGAAAAAGTGAACAAGATCTTTTTTTTGACAGTTTCAGGTGTTTTCTTTTACCTGCTAGAACCACTAAGCAATAAAAAGAGACATTCTAAAGAATGCCTAACCCCCCCACCACCACCACCACCACCACCATCATCCTTTTCCAGATACTACAAGTGTTGCATGCATTTGATAATCCTACTTGCTTGTGTTCAGGATATAATAAAAACAGTCTTTAAAGTTTTTTTTTTTTGCAAAATGATAGCCGAATGGGAGGATTATTGTAACCAAAGACCATTTATATTTGACTCTGAGAAGTGTCTGGTTCATGCTAAGTGGAAAAGATGAAAAATGTAAGGTTTTAGTTATGAGTGTTTTCACCCATTACTCACCACATGAATTTTACCCAAAATTCACATATTTTCCACATAAATTAAAATAGGAAAAGTGTTCGACCCATGGATGAAAGTTGAATGGACAAAACAATGTATTGGCAATATTTTTTCTGATGCAACTGACCGCATTGTGATGTGTTGCCACCCATGTGCATTGGAGCAGTGATGTCTTAGTTCATTGAGGTGGCTGTTCAAAATGAATGACACCAAAAACACACTAATGCTAAGCAGTGTAAGCTCATTACCGCAATGCACTGTATTGGAAAAGTGTGTTTCAGCCCTTCAGTGTGTTTTTGCCTCAGTAATAACACACTTGTTTAGTACAGACATAAATAAATGTATTTATAATGAGCATAGTGAACCTGTGCTCAGATCATGCACAGTAAAGCATTTACAAAATCTGAAGAAGCAGAAAAGTACTTTAAGAAGCCCTCATTTATCTCTTTATCTATAAGCATTGTGGAGAAATTAATTTTTACATTTTACAATGCAAACTTTTTTTCTAGCAGAACAGAATCTTAACAGCCTGCCAGCCCAGTAATGTAAACAACCAGCAGGTGTTTCTAATGTGTTAGAAATCAACTAAAACCAACCTTATTCTTTTGTTATGATCTTTGAAAATGAACAACCTCCCAGTAAACATGGCTAGAAAGCTGAGGGATGGCCTGATCATTTAGAGTAGGGTCTCCAAAATGTTTAAACAAAGGGCCAGTTTAATGTCCTTCAGGATTGAGGGAGGCCGGACTCTGGCCAGTGGGAGTAGAAAATGTCTCGGCATCAGTGGGAGTAAACACTCCCCCATCATTGGTTCTAACAGGAGAAATAGTGCCCCCATTGTTGGTTTTAGCAGGAGGAATGGTGCCCCATGGTTGGTATCAATGGGAGGAATAGTGCCACATTAATTATGTCAGTATGAGGAGTAGTGCCCCATCATTGGTTTTAGCAGGAGGAATAGTGCCCCGTTGATGGCGTCAGTGGGAGGAATAGTGCCCAATTAAAAGCGTCAGTGGGAGGAATGGTGCGTCATCACTGGTGTCAGTTGGAGGAATAGTGTCCCAAGGGCCGGATAGAGCCAAGAAAAGGGCTGCATCTGGCCCCCGGGCCATAGTTTGGAGACTACTGATATGAGTGCAGCTAAACAATATCCTTATTCTAGGTAAATAGTTCATTCACATTCACTACTTAACTTCTTCCCATCCGCCCTATAGCAGAAGTACTGCTACAGGGCTGCACGTGTGCGCAAAATCACGTATATATACATGATTTTGCATTTCCAGGTAGGTAGGGAATTTCCGCCAATCACGGCCTCGGCTGTCAATCACTGGGTCCCAGTTGTTGGTGATTGAGGAACATCTCCGACAGGGGTGAGAACTGCACACTGCTTTGCATGGCTCTGCATAGCACAGCCATGCAAAGCAGTGTGCTTATAGTGATGCACAAACACAGTCCAGTATGTAAAACGGCATACAGCACAAAGTTAGCCTTTTGATCGCCCCACATGTTAACCCCTTCCTGCTCAGTGTCATTAGTACAGTGTCAGTGCTTTTTATTAGCAATGATCACTGTATTGGTGTCACTGGGGGATGTCAGTTACTGGGGATGTCAGTTATGAGTGTTTTCACCCATGACTCACCACATGAATTTTACCCAAAATTCACATATTTTCCTCATAAATAAAATAGGAAAAGTGTTCGAATGCCCGCCGCAGTCCCGTTCTAAGTTGCTGATCACCGCCATTACTAGTAAAAAAATGTTTTAAATCCCAGTATATATACCACCATTTTTAAACACTATACATTTGACGTAAACCAATTAATTTACACGTATTGGGATTTTTTTTACCAAAGACATGTAGCAGAATACATTTTAGCCTAAATTTGTGACAAAATTTGATTTTTAAATTTTTTTTACTGGACTTGTTTAATAGCAAAAAGTCACAAATATTGTTTTTTTTTTTTCAAAATTTCTTTTTTCTTATATAACTCAAAAAATAAAAGTGCACAGGTGATCAAATACCACCGAAAGAAAGCTCTATTTATGGGGAAAAAGATGTAAATTTCAGTTAAAGTAATACAGCTCCTTAATGCAAAAAATGGCCTGGTCAGGAAGGGGGGTAAATCCTCTGGAGGACAAGTGGTTAAAGTGGGACTTTACTTGTAATAACTTGATAAAAATAATATTCTTTAGCAAGGAACATACATTTCACATGAATAATTATGGTACCTTAATTTGTGTGTGCTGTAAATTGCTTCCAGCATTGCTCCTGTTTTTGCCAGAGGCTGCAATCTTGCTGAAGCACCGAACCCCTGAACAGCAGTAATTCTTTAGGCGGTCAGCAGATCAGCCGCTACATTTTCAACACAGTGCTGAAAAATACAGCACAACTGAGCATGTAGTGAGCAGGGTGAGGCAGTATATTACTGGATTTTAAACAGTATAGCACTTATTTTTAATGTTTTACATAGCTATACATGCAAAAGGGGCCAGCCTGAAGTGATCTAGCAGGACTATTTTTAATTAAATCGCTTTTTACTGTGTTTTTCTGCCTTCTTGCAAAGTCCTCCCAAACCTCTCATTTCTCCCCTCACTTCCACTTGTTTGGAATGTGCTCTGCTCTATGCGCACAACAAATTCAATAGTCCATAGTCTTCAGTCCATCTCAGGATCAAGTGGGAGTAACTACATTCCTAATTACATTGCGATCATGGAGGATGAATGTAGCTACCCTCTAACATGAAGTCAGATCACAGCAGCAAAAAGATACAGGAATGAAAGAGGCTGAGAAGCAATAGAGGGTACTTATTACATTCAAAATACATATTTGAATAGAATGTTTTTCAAACCAGAGCTGAGTAACCCTTCAGCCTGGGTTCACACTGATGCGGTGCAGAATTTGTACTGGTTTCTGTGCAAAATTCCGAGCTGCATGATAATCGCACCCTATTCATATGAACCACCGCAGGTGTGTACTTTAAGTTAACAATAACCCGAAATCAGTTGGCAAAACGCGGTGCGATGTGAAGAATCGGATCACATGGGTGTTCACACCCATGCGATCTGATTCTGCTGTGGACTAAAAAAGGGCCCTGCACTTTTTTGGTGCAGATATGGTGCGATTTGAGCCATACAAAATGTACGGCTCAAATTGCACCACATAGAAATCGCATGTGATTTGCACAGGAATGCGGTGTAGTTTCTGTGCAAATCACATGTGATGTGTCTCACCGCATCAGTGTGAACCCAGGCTTAATGTTTATAGTCTGGGCATAGGGGCCCTTTCAAGCTATACATAAAATGAGAATTTGTGAAAGTGCAGTAGAGTGCTGAGTTTTATCCTTCTACCTAGCAGTGATCAAGTGGACAGCCTCTCCCTTTTATAGCTGACTGTCCAGGCTGTAAGAGTCTCATAGGTCATTGGATTTGGTCAGCCACTGGCTCTGTGTAATTCATGTGTTTAAGTAATAATTGGGTTCCATTAGCTACCTTGTTTGTGATTCTGAGTAAAGTTGTGCAGGGAGGGTGAAAATACACTATTAATCTGATATTTTATACTGATTTACAGATCGCCTTAGACTGTCCTTCTGATTTCTGTCGATTTTATTCTCAATTACAAGAACCATATATTAGAGATCCTGCTGCCTATCCAAAACTTCAGGTAAATCTTTTCTGAAATAAAACTTAAAGCTGAACGGTAAAAAGAAACATACGAATGCGCCAATCATTAATGCTATGCAACATTAAATTGTTTTTTTTTAAACGCAAGCAGTGTAGATACCTGAATTTTATTTAGTATCAGTCTCTTGCAGTCTACTGTTTAGTCTGTACAGCAGAGCTAGAGAAGACAGGAGAAGCAGCCAATCAGCAGTGCTGCAGTGAAGGGAGACACTGATAGGATGAGGGGGTAGGGTGACAGAGAGATGAGCTGCTTTTCCTTTCATTGTCCAGTCACAGGGGATTAGTAAGGACCCTTTCACACGGCCATTCTGATCAGGTCCACCTGTCAGTTTTTCAGGTGGACCTGATCAGAAGGTTCATGCAGCCCCATAAACAGGCAGATGTAAACGTACTTGTATCTGCCCAGGTCCTGAAATAGAAGCAGAAAAGGACTGCATCTTTTTCCAATTTTGCGGACCGGATCAGAGGAAGCCTGATGTAAATAGACAGCGGAGTCCGCTTACACCTGGCTACCCTGGTCCAGCCATGTTCTGCCAGGCAGAAACTGAATGAGCACGGATGTAAAAAAAACTGACATCTGTCCCCTTCAGCACCGATTCAGCAGAGGATCTGTTTACACATCCTCTACTAAGCGTTGCGGACTCCATTCCATGTGAAAGGAGTCTTTGTGAAAGTGAAACTGCAGCAGTAAATGGTTAGGTCCTCTCCCCTGCTAGACAGGACACAGCTGTATAAATCACAAGAGTGAATCACCAAGGAAGCTGTGAGGAGAGTGACTGCCGGAGAAGACAGCTGAGAGAACCTCCAACTGCCTGTCCGGGGCCCCTCCATACCAAGCAGAAATCATTGATGAGGACAGTAATGGCAAGTGATTTTGAGGCTAAATGACTCAACCAACCGCTGCCAACCTCAATCACAGAATAGAAGACTTTAAGAGACATCTGCTACAGTATTAAGCTGTCTACCCAGAATAGGATAAGCAGCACTTTATTTTTTACACATTGGATGAGTTTCAGCGCTGAGAGTCACTGTTTGAAACAGAGGTTTGTTGGTGGATGTCTTATGTTATAAATCGAATGTTTATTGGACATTTGGTAAAGATAAAAAGTGAAAGAGAAATTGCACTTTATTATTGTTTTTTTACACACACAAATGTTTTTCATAACAGTATATATTGGGATTTTATGTACTCTATATATTCTTGCACCTTAATATTTATGTGCTTATATTTACATTATAACATCTGTTAGTCACCTTTTTGTGCTAACTGCCTTTGCCTCTGAGCGCTCACTTATTTTCTGTTGAAGTATAGAAAGAAATACAAATCCTTTGTCAGCCAAAAAAGTTCTCACATTTGTATTATATTTAGCCGTTTCCCGGCGTTCAGCTTTAACAAATATTTTACAAAATTTAACTGAAAGGAAATACATTGTGGTATTTCAACACTGCATCTGACAGTCATAAAAGATGCTGTTCATAATGTTCAGTAGTTTGTTTTTTACTTTTTAGTATCATGGATACTCCATAAAATTGATGTATTTTTAAGTATAAATAGAAAAACTGCAGTGAGCGCTCCCAATGGTCAGCAGCTGAACATTCAAGGAAAACACATAAGAAGTCCCAAGGAAAATATATATAGGAAATGCAGCGCTATATGGTGTTGCTATATTACAGGCAACTATAATGATGAAAGGTGAAATCAGAACATAAATAAAGATATAAATAAATAAATCACAGTCCAGTAAAGGTGCTCGCTGATTCCCAGTGCAAATGGTAGAAATGCGCACTAACCAGAAGCGTATTGGTAATACGCATGAATATGAAATATCCTGAAGATTCCCCTCTCTTGTCTGGTCTGGTAATGGGTAGGAGCTGGGAAATGCAGAGAAGAAGCGCCCTCGTGTGGTGAAGATGAGGTCTGGCAGGTCAGAGAAATCCTTACAGAGGTGTATGAAGTAGATAATTCCCCCTCTCAGGAGCTGGTACAGGGATCACTCTGGGGCTGCAAAAGTTGAAAATGCTCCTCGCAGCAGACACAGGGAAGAACTCATAGTGTAGTATGTAAATTGACTTTATTAAAAAAAGGCGTTCAGTGAGAACCACAGTGGTGCCAGATACAAATGAATAACTGACCCTTCCAAGTTCAAAGATGGCCGCCGGGCCTCCACGTGGCACCGGTGGCGTAATGTCAACGGCGTCCTGGGCTCTACCTCTGAAGTGCGTGCGCACGAAACGCGTCAGATGGAGCCCAGGACACCGTTGACATTACGCCGCCGGTGCCACGTGGAGGCCCGGCGGCCATCTTTGAACTTGGAAGGGTCAGTTATTCATTTGTATCTGGCACCACTGTGGTTCTCACTGAACGCCTTTTTTTAATAAAGTCAATTTACATACTACACTATGAGTTCTTCCCTGTGTCTCCTGCGAGGAGCCTCTTCAACTTTTGCAGCCCCAGAGTGATCCCTGTACCAGCTCCTGAGAGGGGGAATTATCTACTTCATACACCTCTGTAAGGATTTCTCTGACCTGCCAGACCTCATCTTCACCACACGAGGGCGCTTCTTCTCTGCATTTCCCAGCTCCTACCCATTACCAGACCAGAAAAGATAGCGGAATCTTCAGGATATTTCATATTCATGCGTATTACCAATACGCTTCTGGTTAGTGCGCATTTCTACCATTTGCACTGGGAATCAGCGAGCACCTTTACTGGACTGTGATTTATTTATTTATGCCTTTATTTATGTTCTGATTTCACCTTTCATCATTATAGTTGCCTGTAATATAGCAACACCATATAGCGCTGCATTTCCTATATATATGATGTATTTTTAAGCTTAGGTGGTAGAATCATGGGCTGTACAGCACAAAGTCACAAACAATCATTTCTAAGAGGCGTAAAGACTTGTTTACACTTGTGGTCTTCATTGCGGCCCCTCTGAAATCACTTACCAGAGGAGTTTGACAGGTGGCTTGGAGGGGATATGTTGCCTCCTCATTACTTGTTTTAACACCTGAAAGCCGCATGCATTACATATGGTGGTGGCGTGACCCCATTAACTTAAAACGCATTGTTTGCTGGCGGTACTTCCCTGCAAACATGACCTGTTGTATCGTTTCTCTCTGCAACTGCACCAGTGTGTACTAACATGGCCATGTTCACTTGTGGCTGAGGGTGTGGGCCTCAAACTGTGGCTCAGCTATCAATCTCTACTGCCCCCTCTGTAAACAAGGCCTAGGAATTGCTTTGTCATAAGACTGCATGAAAAATATTTTTCAGCAAGTTATCTGGGAACTCATGTACTGTGGTGGACAGTTAGAGGTCACCTTGATTAGTAGGATAGTTGGAAAAGGTCTCAGCTGGGACGTTCTACTTACAAAGGCTGTGGCCCCAGGCAGGAGGACTGCACATTGAAGATTGTGGGAATGGTACAAAGGTAAATCGTCTACCAGGTGGGCTGCACTCGGGGAAGGTGGGGATTTACTGAAAGAACAACTTTACTAAGAGGAAAATGTACTAAAAGGAAAGTTGTGCCATAGGTAGAACATCATTAGAATAAAAGGCGTGTTTTACATCTGTCAGGAATTTAGCTTTTTTTTCAGCTGTAATTCCTAAGTTTTTGGTCTGTTAGATTTACCCCTGAAAGTGTTTTATGTCTTTTAAGCAAGGGCAAAAATACCTGTTGATCTTGTCAGAAATTTAGAACTGTCCTGAATTTCTTTTTGACTCTGTGTGTTATCTCAAGGAGCCTAATCTGCCCTTCCAGTTCCTATTTTGAACTACAGACCCCCTTCCCAATTTTTGTGTAGATGAGAAAGAGTTCTACAACAGGGCAGAACTAAAACCATTGCATTTTCAGGCCACAGTAATGCTGTGTGTGGTCAGCCCACAACAGGACTTAAAGCTGTAGTAAACTTGTTTGAAAAAAAACCCAGTAAAATCTTAATGTGCTAGCATGTATAGTAAATTAGCACATTATGTGAAACGTACCTTAAACTGAAGCCCTCAAGCGTTGCGTTGTCACCGCTGACAGGGATTCTATCTGCACCCGTTCTTCTTTCCAGGTTCCCAGGCTGCAGCTGCTTGAATGGCTGAGCTGCCGATGACGTCACTTCCGCACATGCGCGCGGGAGTTTCAGCCACAACACACAGCTCTGAAGGAATGTATGCCATTTCTTCAGAGCGCATGTGCTGGTGATGTCTCCGGCTGCACCTCTGTAGAATATCTCCTAAATGGTGCATGTTTAGGAGATATTAATTTAACCTACAGGTAAAGTGCAGCAGGAGCTATATTGTCTCAATGCCAGGGACCCAAATCTTTGCTCCATCCTGTTGCCATCTTCTCTAGGAAATCGAGCCCCCCTGAATGGAACTATGATGTGGGGTATTGTTGGCTATCAAGTCAGCTCTTGAAGAATGACGCTATCTATTGAAAGGGGCTTCGCACCCCATTCTCATTTGCACTGATCACAAGAATCTAGAATACTTAAGGACTGCTAAAAGACTGAGACCTTGACCGGTAAGGTGGGCTCTCTCTTCTTCTCCCGCTTCGTGTTTCATATAACATATCGTCCACGGTCAAATACCTGTAAACCAGACACGGTCTTACGCATGTTTCATGCTACTGTGTTGCCCTCCGAGCCTGACACAATCCTCCCAGCCAAGAACTTTCTACTTTTGCAAGCTGATCTTGTGTCACAAATTAGAGAGGTGGTCACAGAACATCCTCCCCCTCAGGATTTACATCTTCAACAGAGGGATGGCATAAAGGACAAGTCTTTGTCCCTAAACAGTTCAGTCTCCATTCTTAAGATGTGCCACAATCACCCTTTGGCCGGCCACTTTGGCATTTACAAAACTTCAGATCTGATAGCCTGTTCCTTTTGGTGGCCTGATTCAGGATTGTAAGGAATGTATCTTGCTCAGTGTGTCTTCGGAATAAAACTGATAAAGCTAAGACTTGGGGTCTGTTGGCGCCTCTTCCGGTACCTGAAAAAACATGAAGTATGATATCTACGGATTTTATCATTGAACTCCCCCCATCAGAAAGGTTCACTGCAATTTTTTGTTGTGGTAGATCGCCTGTATAAAATGGCACATTTTATACCCTTGAAGGGGACCCCCTCTACTTCCGAGACTGCCTTGGCTTTCATTAAGAAAATTGTAACCTCCAGGTTTTAGAGAACTTTATGTGAAGCCTTAAATATTAAACTTTGTTTATCTACTGCCTGTCACCCACAGTCTATCGGACAGACGGAGGGGACAAACTAAACCCCTGAGCAGTATTTGCGATGTTTTTCTTCTTTTTCACAGGATGATTGGGTACCTCTCCTTCCATTAGCAGAGTTTGCATACAATTATTCCACTCACTCTGCCACCAATCTCCTTTCTATGCCAATTATGGATACCATCCTTCCTTTTTGCCTGTGGTCCCTTTGGATCTTCTGTACCAGCTATGCAAGATAGATTAAGCTTTCTCAGTACTAACAATCAACTCTTGAAGGATACCATCATGAAGGCTCAGGTAAGTAATAAGAAATTCTTTGATAAAAGAAGAGGAATTTTAGACTTGAATCCAAGAGACAAGGTTTGGTTATCTACAGCTAACCTGAAATTAAGCTGCCCCTCGAAAAATCTTGGCCTGAGATACCTGGGCCCCTTTAATAAGGGCCAACCCTGTAGCATTTTAATTATTTTGCCAAGAAACCTGAAAATTCACTCCGTATTTCAAGTTTCTTTATTAAAGCCAGCTGTTTCAGATCCATATCTGGGTCAAGTTCCAGAGAACCCCGCTCCGCTGCTCATTGAGGGCAATGAGAAATATGAAGTTGAAGCCATACTGGACTGTAGACGTAAGAGAAGTCAAACCCAGTTCCTTATCAAGTGTAGGGGCTATGGCCCAGAGGGAAATTAATAGGAACCATCCTCAAATGTTCATGCTGGTACAGGCTTACTTCTGGCTTCATCCTGAAAAGAAAGCTCTGGTGAGCATCTGGAGGCTGCCCTTAAGGAGGGGGGCAATGTAAGGGAATTCCTATAAGGTGACTGGTGCACAGATATGTGTGTCTTCAGCTTACCTGTGTTCTGAGTGTGTTCTGTATGATTTCCATTGATGACCAGGGTTGTTACTGACCTGATTCTGGATTGTTTGTACCTTTGCCCATCTGTTCCTGACCTCGGCCTCACTCCTGACCAAGCTTTTGCCTACACTTTGGTTTCACATTGCCCACCTGCTACTGACCTTGCCTACTCATGACCTCGCTCCTGCTTATGATTTGGTGTCATACAAGTTCTGAGTGTCTGCTTTGGCTGTCCTCCATAACCGCTCCAGTCCTCGTAATGTGTTCCTGCCTAAAGTCTGCCGAGAGCCTTGATAAGCCACGCTTCCAGATCTTGCAGTACATGCGGAATGTCCCTTTAACCTCGGCTGGTCCAGCGTGCATCACATCCGCTTCTGACCTGATGTCCTGCCTGACTTCTCAAGCCTGCATCTCCAGCTGCAAGTTCTGCTATCAACACCTGCCGCCACTCATGTTCCTCCTCTCCCTTGGCACCATCTATTCCACCTTCAATGGGGCCAGGGCTGGAGATACAAGAGAGGCTAACCTCGTCAATTCAGTGCCCTACCAGGTACGTGACAGGTAATATTTGGTGTAGTAAATATTTTAAATTCTAACTATGGCCAAAACTTGTTTTCAGTTTTGTAGTTAGAATTAAAAACTTTCAGATTAGTATTCCTTTCAGTGTTTCTGTTGGGGAGGCAAATGAACAGTGTGGTTCCTGATCACGTGGTCACTATGTGAGATGTGACATAATGATCACATGCAGTGGTCACTGCAGCCTGTAGGTGGCAGTGTCCCTCTGTTTAGTACTGTAATTGCCTCATACATGGATAGTGTTTGAAAAATATATTTTTTTAAATGGTAAAAAGACATTATGTGTGCGTAGATACTGTATTTAATCAATCTATCAGTCTGTAATAGAAAAATCAGAGCAGGGTTTTTATCAAAACCGTTTTGCAGATTAAAATTGTTTAAAATCAATTTACTAAATTCAAATTGTTCATGTCCAGTTGTAAGAACACGCAAAGTAGTCACGGAGTTATGGCCAGGTGTTTCAACTTGAAATACTACTTCTTGTGGAAGTGAAACAAGGTAAATCATTCCTACTGTATAGGCAAAAACGTTCATGTGAATGCAATATTATCAGCAAATTGACCAAATTCTCATCAAACTTGCCCTAGTTAATATAAAACTTGCATACTTGACCATCATATAGGCTTTATTCAATCTTTTTACTGTTTTAAGTGCTAAAATGTTGCTGCCCCTGCTTTCTCTGTTTTGCAGATGTTGGTATATATGTTCTATTCTGTTCCATGTAATCTGATCACTTTGTATGGTTTGCTGGTTCCTGGATGTACTTGGATGCCAGATCTGACTCTTATTCATGCTGGGGGACTAGCTCAGGTAGGGTTCTTGTAATGTAAATCTGTTTGTATGTTTATATTCTTTTGCATATTAATTGCTGTTTTCTATTGCTCATGTGTTTGTGGACATGCCCTAGAAACATGCTGTCTGCAGAAGAAAATCTAAAAGGTGAGTTCTTCCCAAACTGATATTTTAGTTATATGAGAAGTATGGTGAGCTTAGTCAGCTCCTGGCACCTCTTGGATACTCCTACAGCGAGAGTTCCTGCCATGATTCCTAACTCTGTCCCTGTCTACCTTGTAGTTTTAGATGTTCCAACAAATTTATGTTGCATCTTTCTTAGGCTGGCCATACATTATACAATTTTCTGTCCAATTTCCTTTAGATTTACCTTCAACTATGTAGTGCAAGGGCCTGCTTAACTGGATACAATTTAAAGTTTTGTTTAGGTTTGACCTCCTATTATATGGTTTTTGGTAAATCTAAAGAAAAATTCTCAAGAAAATTGTACAATGTATGGCCAGCCTTATATGGAAATGTAAAAAATCCGACAGGAAAAATTGAACACCTCATAATTGCCACAGCAGGTGTGTGAACCCAGGAACTAAGCACAGATGTTTTGCTATTAGTCCCAGAGAGACAAGAAAAAGTCAGGTGGTTTAAAGCAACCATTTAATTTGAAAAAATCTCTTGCTGTTGAAGAAACCTTAAAGACCCCAAAACTATGCCTGAATGTAAGGGCATTCTGACCAACAAAGCTCCAGCATTGCCTGGTAGAGTGAAAGCTTACCTGTCCCACACATCCTAGTAATAGGCTAACATGAATTTGTGGGAGGGAACAAGCTTCAGTACTACCACAAGGAGTTAGACCTTTGCCTGTCAGAATGTCCTAGCATTTGAGCTTAAAGGGTAACTCCAACTTCATTGAAAAAACAAGCAAATTTAAAAATTATATATATATATATATATATAATTTTATTACAGGTACTTATATAGCACCATCAATTTATGCAGCACTTTTACATATATATTGTACATTCATCAGTCCCTAACCCTCAAGGGCGTACCATCTAAGGTCCCTAACTTACATTCATGCATACATACTAGGGCCAATTTAGACAGGATCTAATTAACCTTCCAGCATGTCTTTGGAGTGTGGGAGTCAACCAGAGAACCAGGAGGAAACCCAGGCAGGCACAGGGAGAACATGCAAACTGCACTACACTGGGGAGGATGAAAGGATTTTTTTTTTGCACTATGATTGCTTATAACAGTGATGATCACTGTTTTAAACAATTATTTTTATGATTTGCATCCATTTATAGCCAGCGTGTATTATTGTGATAGCTGTGATTGGCCACAGCCATCACATGGTACAGGTGTGCTGCGATTGGCCCGGCCATGTGATCACTGTGGCCAATCACAGAGATCATCACAATAAGACACAATGAATGGCTATGACTGAAAGCCATTCATTGTGTACAAATGTCATGTGATTGTTGTGATTAGTCACAGTGAACACATGGAACCGGGCCAGTACAATGATCTGTCATCCACTGTGTCCTGTGGACACTGTGGGTGGCAGATCGTGTTTCAAAGCACGGCCGCTAGGGTGCATGACTGTGAGAACATCATATGTTGTCCTGCCAGAACCAGAAAGCTCCCGCTCAGCTGTCATTTGTCATTAGGGAAGCGGTGTTTAAAGTAGCAACAATTCGATAGTTTCATGCTTTTAGGTGTTAGGTACTCTTGCAGATGGTTAAAATGCATGAAATGTTAATGAAATCATAAATGATGTGTATTTCACTGAGCCCTGCCTACATTCATGTATTTATTCGTGCTATGTTTTGTAAGAAAAGATGTATAGACTCCAGAGAGAGAGATATCATATTACCCCGGTACAAATCATTAGTAAGACCTCATCTGGAATATGCAGTTCAGTTTTGGACACCAATTCACAAAAAGAACATTGGGGAACTGGAGAAAGTACAGAGAAGGGCAACCAAACTGATACGAGGCATGGAGGAGCTCAGCTATGAGGAAAGATTAGAGGAACTGAATTTATTCTCTCTTGAGAAGAGGAGATTAAGGGGGGATATGATCAACATCTATAAATACATCCGTGGTTCATATAGTGAACTCGGTGTAGAGTTATTCACCCTGAGGTCATCACAGAGGACAAGGGGGCACTCTTTACGTCTGGAGGAAAGGAGATTTAATCTCCAAACATGGCAAGATTTCTTCGCAGTGAGAGCTGTGAAAATGTGGAATAGACTCCCTCAAGAGTTGGTCTGGCCAGCTCAGTGGATTGCTTTAAAAAAGGCCTGTTTCTTAGATACACAGAATATAACTGGATACTAACATTTATAGATAAAGTTGATCCAGGGAATATCTGATTGCCTCTCAGGGGATCAGGAAGGAATTTTTCCCCCTGCAGGAGCAAATTGGATGATGTTTTCCTGGGGGGTTTTTTTTTTGCCTTCCTCTGGATCAATGGTGGGTATAGGATTATAACGTTTTTTATTGTTTTTGTTTTTATGGTTGAACTAGATGAACGTTTGTCTTTTTTCAGCCAGACTAACTATGTTATGAAAAAGTCCTGAATGTTGCTTTTATATTGTATTTAGAAGCACATACAAAGCACTTAGAAATGACTGCAAAAGTATGCAAATAGCATGCAAAAAGAATCTTTTTATGGTTTATATACATTAAAACATCATTAGAAATGTCAGAAAATGCATGCACATACACTATGAATGCAGAAATGCTCCATGGGTTTTATGGTATTTTAAAATCCAAATGCATAAAACCGGCCCAAGTCATAGGATTTAACTGTATAGAAACTAATCCTAGAAAATAATCCTCCCTTACAGTGGTCCACTTAGATTCTTGGCTGAAAAATGTATTATCTTTTCAACACCAATTACATTAGTTATCCTCTCTATATCAGTCAGAGGAGTGTGACTATATATGTGAATAAATACGTGATGATTCATTTTCTTTTCCTGTACAGGCACAGTTCTCCCATATTGGTGCTTCTCTTCATGCTCGGACTCCTTACATCCACAGAGTTCCTGATGAAGCTAGGCTTTTATTTTTATTCACAAATATACTATTTGCATCTGTTCCTCAGCTATTGGCTCATCGGTGTATCAGTGAACCAGAATTTTTTGTGAAGGTAAAAACAGGGGTCAAATCTGAATAGAAATAAGGTCCATGTGGAACTCTCCTTCCAACAAGATGAGCTTCGCTGTATAATTTACCTTTCTATGTAATGAACGGCTCACTTTCCTTGGATGCTGTGAAGATTTTTATAGTATATAATGAAAACTAATGAAGTTGCAGAAGAACAACCAAACCTCCCAAGGGTCCAACACAATGAAATGATATCAAGGACCTAAGAATGTGTAGGTTACAGCACATACTTTCATTTTGTAACACCATCATTGTAATAACAATACAAATCGCTATATTGGACAATCCAATGTAAACGTACTTGAAAAATCTCCTTTCATAATGTGAGTTCTGCCTGTCTGCTGGCCGTTTGTTTTCAGGATTCCCTGCATGCTTTGCAGTGTCTCCTCTGCTGTTTACTTTCAGTGTATAAGGACTATATATCCCATGGTACATTGCTACCTTCTAGCAATGATTCCTGTACTGACTCCACCTCCTGAACCTCCTCCGCTAACCATTTCTGTAGTTCAGAAGGCAGGCTCTGTGTATACTGTGACACTGCAGTGCCTACTCACAAGGCATGCCAGTAACTGAATTGAAGGAAGTAAATGGGTGGTGAGCAGCACAACTTTTACAAACTTTGCGATCATTCAGAGTAATAGAATTAGGCTAGAAATAATTGAAATATAATGTGGAAATGAATATGTGATTTTAAATTTTGACCATAAATACACTTTAATGTAAACACATTATAGGATGTTTTCACCACGCTCATGAGCAGCCAATATCAACAGTGACAATGATGGCCGGCCTGATTGTAGCAGTTGGAGAACAATATAAATATTCAGAATAGATGTATTATAATTGTGCACGCTTACCTAGGAGATTTCTAGATTCTCCCTATTTGTCTCCCTGGCTCTGATAGGGATGTGAGAGGCTTCTATGGTAAGGAAGTATCTGCTTTGCTAGCTCCCTGGTCTCATACTGAATACACAACCTGTAACAGGGCAGCCACTCTGAGACCACCTAGGACCACTCTCCCACTAAGGAGGGGGTCGTTCAAGGCAAATCTGTTGCAGGTGATCACTGCATACCAATTACATACAAGCAGCTGCAATTAGCTGTAGGAGATGGCAGCCTCCCATTGCTTCCAATGGGACTGCCTCCCGCAGGTAAACTCCGTGACTCCCTGCTAAGGGTTCTTGCATGTACACTGTCAGGCCAGTATGCAGATGTGAATGTATTACTCCTCCCAGAGCTAGGAGACGGGTTTATCTTTCCTCGGTAAACCTGCACAGTTATAATAGTTTTAGACTGAATAATTTGATACTATTTTGTGACTAATTATTTTTCATTATGTCAAGAGGTTTCTATCCCCCTGCAAACTGAAAATGCGTACAAGAGCTGCCGCCTCTTAAAAGCGCCCAAGCTCACTCTAAGTACCAGACATTGTAGGAACAGATCAGAGACAATATAAATAATAATGTAGAACTATAAGCAAAACTTTTTTTCACTTTGGATAGAGTAAGCAACCCTCTTCAGCTATCTTTTTTTTTCTGCCAACTGCATCCCATTGAAGAGATTTACCTCCACTTCCTGCCCTGTAGCCAAAACAGGAAGTGAAGAGAAATTCCTGCAAATTAAGGGAATCCATGACCCCCCCCCCCCCCCCCCCCCCCCCCCCCCCCCCCCCCCCCCCCCCCCCCCCCCCCCCCCCCCCCCCCCCGGTCACCAGAACAAGTGTCCCCACTGGGAAATTTTCCCTCTATTACTGTTTTGTGGATAACCCAAAATGTGGGGTTTGGGATTTTCTTTTACTTTCACTTTTGTGATAATGATAAACAGGACTAGCAGAGAGAGGGTGAATGCATTTAGGTATATGATACAACTGTATGTGGGTGACAGCAGTTTTACTATTGGACATATCAGTAAAGTGCCTGTACAATTCTGCATGGAATACCAGCAGTGCCATGTCATAAAAATTGATGGGTGTCAAAATCCAAATAATGATCCCTCCAATTATTCCCACCCACCTATGTGGCCTATACAAGTCCACAAGACTATAATTGACACTTGGTTCACACGAGTGCGGTGTTGCAGGCCACAGCACAGCAGCCCAGTCATTTGAATGGGCTGCCGTGCCTCACAAAACGCCGTGCCTGCACCTTTCCAGAAATTGCAGCCCAAACTGAGACCCACACTACAATGCAGCTTCCAGTGCGGGCAGCATGCCATTAAGATCAATGACACCTGCCCTTGGGTCCCACATCTTCTGTGTGAGTGGTTCCAGCTGTGGAACGAAGTCCCAAGTCCCCCAGCGGCTTCCACTTGCACTAGTGTGAACTGACCCTCTAGGTGGTCTGACAATGGGCCTACTTTGTGAGAAATGATCAGCTATTATACCAGGAACAGGAGACTTCTTACTTTGTAATGAGAGAGTTGATCTGACAATAATGTAAGCAGGAAATCAGACATATATGATACATGAAGTTTTATAAAAAGAAAAACATTTAGTAAATATGTCTTTTACCTTTATTATTGTACTACACATGACCTACATCCGCTACAGCCCACAATGTACAAAACAATAACCCCTAATCACCAATACAATCATAGCCGACACCACCAGTTACAGAATTTCTGTTTTAATATCTGCATTACATATACTGTAAATAAAGTCAAGTGTGACCTATTTCACTCATCTTTACCATCTTTAACCTTACTTTTTGACACACATCCAGGGTGTTTATTTTGTAAAAACAGCTATACATCTTCATATGTGATGTGTTCAACTACAAACACTGGAAATGCAAAAGATGCAAGAACGAGCAGAACAAATATAGAGAAAATAAAAGGCTTTCACTGGAAAAAATGCAATAAAATAAATAAAAATCTATTATCACAACAGCAACAGCATTGTTCACAAGAAAAGACATTCTGGAATGATTATTTATTAGTATTGAAGTTTTTACCTAGGTAGAAAATAATCCTATCTTCCTCTTTAATCTCTATATTAACAGATCGTACATGACAAAATTTGTTACCATAGTTTACATGGAGGGTGGCTGTTCTTCATTGTGGGTGCTTACATACCTGACATTCTTCATACTGCCCCATATTCTGGTGACTTTGGGGGCGACCCTTGGGTGAAATGGATGGACTGTGAAGATTTGTGGGAGGTGTTGGAATGTTTTTTGTCCCCAGGCCCAAGGCCAGAATGTTTTGTATGAACCTACCCCTGCACTGTATCTCCCATACAATCCCCATGGATTCACTGGCCACCCAGTGGCTTTAAGCTGCTTATATCAGTTGTCATTTTAGGTAACAATGTAAAGGCTGCTGTCAAGACTGGAGCTCTAAAAAATCATCTGAAACACGTAATTGACATGAAGCAAATGCAGAATTCTCTCTGTGTTCTCAGTTTTAATGGTTACTCTGATTCTCCCAAGACATTCCACAATATAAAAATGTTATTGTGTATTATCATCAGCTTGTTTGATACATCTGTGTGTGTGTACTGTAATCGTGTACTTTGGTTTACATAACAGCAGGCACGGTAGTCATACTTCCCTATTCTCCCTAACTATATCTGCTGCCCCCCATTAAATCCCATGTTAGATGAAACTTTCACAGGACTCATGAGACAGCGTTCTGGTCTGCAGACTAGTCACTCAAGCACTGAATGTTATTATTATAGGAATAAGCAGGGAGTGCCTTTGTTCCCCCCATACCTGGAAGCATCAAGTATTTCATAGGGTTCTGGTGGTGAACCAGGCCAGGGGATGGGAATGCAGGTAAGTACAGCATGCTACACACTGAACCTGTTTCTTATCCAGTAGATGTAAACCCTCACATATACCCAGTGAAGTGACTGGCCTCAGGTGATACAGAGAGATTAAACAAATCCTCCTACATAAGTTGTACCTGTTTATCTGCAGTCTTCTCTTTACATCCGTTGGAAGTCCAGAATGTATAAAGCTTGTCTCAGCTGTCAGAAAAAAGGGCAGAGAGCTGAATTGGCCACACACTGCTGACCTCAGTAAGGAGAGCTGTGAGAGCTGACTGGAGGGAAGGGACACGCCCCTCTTCACGCAGAAACAAAGCTGAGCCTGTCAATCACGGATTGTGACCTCCTCATCACCATTTTTCTCTTGGTGTCAGAAAAACCTGTCAGAAGTGATTCATGCAGAAGAAAGGGGCAGTAGGCAGAAATGACACTTGGTGCTCTTAACTGAGACACTATAGGGGGATATGTTTTACCCATATTTCATGCCTGGGTTTACAACCGCTATAAGTTCATTGTTCATTTAGCAAATTACTGCTTATTTTTAAGTGCAAAACAAATGTTACTATAAAAGAATAGTATGTACAGTAGAACATCATATTGCAAGCTATTCACAAAACTTGCCAGATTAAAATGAGCCGTCATATTACTGGTTTGTGATTTAAAGTGTAAAGAAAGCTGTTAAAAGCCTCATTAAAACATTTTCATAAGGAGAAAAATATCCAGCAATTATTTTTCTTTCACATGCTCATGCCTTTATTAATACTGCCATCAGGAGGCCACCTTTATATGTGCTTTGTGTATGACCGTTTCATTCAAACACTTGTGTTTGTTCCTTCTGTATCCATTGTAACAGTGGAGAACGGGTCAATTCTGGCAGATAAATGATATTGAGACCCTAATGGTGGTAGTTCCAAATTTTTTATGCCACACAATATTACCACAACAATTTATCAAGCACGAAATTTCAGAAAAAATACACTAGTCTTGGAATACACAAAAGGTATTCTGTACTAATGTAAACCACAGTAAATTGCATCTAATATTAACATAGGTGAGATGGGAAGGCTAGATGATATCATTTGATCTCTGTAGGCCAAGGTCTTTTAAATGGCAGCCAATTTTCCCAGCAATGGTTTGGTAAAAAGCCTCATGCTGTGTCGGCTCATGTACTTGGAAGGATTACAGCATCTTCCACATTTAGTTTCCAACTGTCCAGATGCACATCAGCAACCTCAATGGTAAAG